ATAAGGAGAGTTATACTTGGAATACGGAGGAGGAATGGAGGGAAAAGGAGAGGCAGATGAGGTCTAAGAGAGAGAGAGAGAGAGAGAGAGAGAGAGAGAGAGAGAGAGAGAGAGAGAGAGAGAGAGAGAGAGAGAGAGAGAGAGAGAGAGTTGGTTAAAAATGGCGGTGGAAAGGGAGATGGTTTGTTAAAGAAGAATGGTAGAAAGTGTACAAGGAGTGAGTTGAAGACAGGAGGAGAAATAGAAATGAATGAGGGCGAAGTATCGGAGGTGGTAGGTGTGATGAAGTTATCGGAGCCCGAGGCTTGCATGAAAGGTCAGTATAAAGATGAGTCTGTGACAGTAGGAGTGAAGTCTTTGGAAAAAGTGGGCCTTTGCCTTAAAGCTGATCCATTTGTGGTTTCAGGGTGGGTAAAAACAGAGTTGGGTGCTGTGGAATCTTGTGATAATTGTTTGTGTTTCTGCTGGTCAGAGGGAGCAGGCACTCCTTGTTAAAGGAATGGGGACAAGATATGTGAAATGTTTTGCTCTCAAGAAAAGGGCGCCATTGAAAGGAGTAATTACTGGGGTAGCGGTAAATGTTAAAGCTGACCAACTGAAGATTCCCGGTGTTTGTAATGCTCGTTGTTTGGTACAACGCAGACACGGTGGCGTGAGTGGAGAAACAGAAGAGTCATTGTCTGTTTGGAGTTTTGATGTTGAGTCTTTGCCCGACAAAGTGATGTTAGGATATACAGTGAGGGAAAAAAGTATTTGATCCCCTGCTGATTTTGTACGTTTGCCCACTGACAAAGAAATGATTAGTCTATAATTTTAATGGTAGGTTTATTTGAACAGTGAGAGACAGAATAACAAACAAAAAAATTCAGAAAAACGCATGTCAAAAATGTTATAAATTGATTTGCATTTTAATGAGGGAAATAAGTATTTGACCCCTCTGCAAAACATTACTTGGTGGCAAAACCCTTGTTGGCAATCACAGAGGTCAGACGTTTCTTGTAGTTGGCCACCAGGTTTGCACACATCTCAGGAGGGATTTTGTCCCACTCCTCTTTGCAGATCTTCTCCAAGTCATTAAGGTTTCGAGGCTGACGTTTGGCAACTCGAACATTCAGCTCCCTCCACAGATGTTCTATGTGATTAAGGTCTGGAGACTGGCTAGGCCACTCCAGGTCCTTAATGTGCTTCTTCTTGAGCCACTCCTTTGTTGCCTTGGCCGTGTGTTTTTGGTCATTGTCATGCTGGAATACCCACCCACGACCCATTTTCAATGCCCTGGCTGAGGGAAGGAGGTTCTCACCCAAGATTTGACGGTACATGGCCCCGTCCATCGTCCCTTTGATGCGGTGAAGTTGTCCTGTCCCCTTAGCAGAAAAACACCCCCAAAGCATAATGTTTCCACCTCCATGTTTGACGGTGGGTATGGTGTTCTTGGGGTCATAGGCAGCATTCCTCCTCCTCCAAACACGGCGAGTTGAGTTGATGCCAAAGAGCTGGATTTTGGTCTCATCTGACCACAACACTTTCACCCAGTTCTCCTCTGAATCATTCAGATGTTCATTGGCAAACTTCAGATGGGCATGTATATGTGCTTTCTTGAGCAGGGGGACCTTGCGGGCACTGCAGGATTTCAGTCCTTCACGGCGTAGTGTGTTACCAATTGTTTTCTTGGTGACTATGGTCCCAGCTGCCTTGTGTAGGTCTACAATATTGTCCCTGACATCCTTGGAGAGCTCTTTGGTCTTGGCCATGGTGGAGAGTTTGGAATCTGATTGATTGATTGCTTTTGTGGACAGGTGTCTTTTATACAGGTAACAAGCTGAGATTAGGAGCACTCCCTTTAAGAGTGTGCTCCTAATCTCAGCTCGTTACCTGTATAAAAGACACCTGGGAGCCAGAAATCTTTCTGATTGAGAGGGGGTCAAATACTTATTTCCCTCATTAAAATGCAAATCAATTTATAACATTTTTGACATGCGTTTTTCTGGATTTTGTTGTTGTTATTCTGTCTCTCACTGTTCAAATAGACCTACCATTAAAATTATAGACTGATCATGTCTTTGTCAGTGGGCAAACGTACAAAATCAGCAGGGGATCAAATACTTTTTTCCCTCACTGTATAAATTATCCAGTACAAGCTTTTGTGCCGAATACATAATGTTGTAACAGGTGTCAACCTTATGGGCATGTGGCAGCAGTGTGTAGGAGGGAGGTTCCTAGGTGAGAAGTGTGCAGAAGGGCATGAGACAAAGGAATGTGTAGCATTGGGGAAAGTAGTGGTATGTGTTAATTGTAGGGGTGCCCATGGGGCTGGGGATCAGACATGTCCCGTGCGAGAGAGGCAGGTTGAGGTTTCCAGGGTTAGAGTAGTGCAGAAGTTGTCATAAACTGAGGCAGTGAAGAAAGTAGAGGAAGATGGGTGAAGGTGGAGGGATCCTGAGATGAGTGGTGTGAGTAGTAGATCTGTACCAGTACAGAGGGATAAACCAATAAGTGATATGTTTCAGTAAGATTGGATTTTTGGCATTTATAGCAATGGTTATCAACTGTACTGCAGGGATGGAATGTAAGTCGCAGAAAATAGAGGTTGTGGTGGCAGCTGCAGAGAGGTATTTGGGTGTGCGAGACTTGACAACAGAAAAGTGACAGGATGTTAAGTGGTGGTGTCCCATCCTTTCAGGCTGTTGGCCTGAAGTAGGACTAAATTGATTTAAATAGTGGAGTATGGTATTTTTTATGAGTGTAGTGTTAGATGGTAGGGTATTCATTCTTGTTTTAAATTCTTTTTTTAAGCAAACTATAAGGGTGTTGTACTCCAGTAGGGTAGGGGGCGGTAATGCAACATTTATTGGATGTCAACCGCCGTAAACCTAATCGAAGAAGAGCGATATGACGCTTTGGCAGACTACTATCGCGAGAAGAACCTTTTATAAGAAATAATAGACATTTCCGGTTTATTTTTGCAGATTTTTTTTAGCTGAACTGTTTTGTTGTTGTCTACGGTTTATGAGAAACTATTTCAGTCAAATCTGACTATCCTTATTTATTCAATTGAACCAAATACATAAAGGTAAGATTATTAATTAACATTTAGTCGTTTTGAATTGGTGTTTTCTTGCCAAAAATGGCACTGGATGCCAGCGGTCGTTGTGTTGTGGTTGTGATGATGGCCTACTAACGTTAATTAACTAACGTTAGCTATCTAGCGGTAATTAGCTGACATCCTTGCTAGCGATGCCTATTTGAAAGTCGATAGCTAGATTTTATACTTATCAGAGTATGTAAATAAAGAGAGAGCGAACACTAGCTAGTTAGCTAGCTAACGTTAGTTACCTGAGAAACGATTGCTGAAAATGTGTTAACCTTCCACCGAAATGTAACTAGCTACGTTAGCTAAGCCAGATAGCTAACTAGCCAGCTAGATAGCTGGTATTTGTTGTGTAGCTACAATACATGGCCAGAAGTATGCGGACACCCCTTCAAATTAGTGGATTTGTACACCGTTGCTGACCGGTGTATAAAATCGAGCACACAGCCATACAATCTCAATAGACAAACATTGGTAGTAGAATGGTCCATACTGAAAAGCTCAGTGACTGTCACCGAGGCATAGTCAAAGGATGCCACCTTTCCAACAAGTCAGTTTGTCAAATTTCTGCCCTGCTAGAGCTGCCCTGGTCAACTGTAAGTGATGTTATTGTGAAGTGGGAACATCGAAGAGCAACAACCACACAATAAAGGCCACACAAGCTCACAGAACGGGACCGCCGAGTGCTGAAGCGCGTAAAAGTCGTCTGTCCTCAGTTGCAACACTTACTACCGAGTTCCAAACTGCCTCTGGAAGCAACATTAGCACAACAACTGTTCATGAAATGGGCTTCCATGGCCAAGCAGCCGCACACAAGCCTAAGATCACCATGCGCAATACCAAGCGTCGGCTGGAGTGGTGTAAAGCTCGCCACCTTTGGACTCTGGAGCAGTGGAAACGCGTTCTCTGGAGTGAGGAATCATGCTTCACCATCTGGCAGTCTGACGGACAAATCTGGGTTTGCCGGATGCCAGGAGAGTGCTACCTCCCCGACTGCATAGTGCCAACTGTAAAGTTTGGTGGAGGAGGAATAATGATCTCTGGCTGTTTTTCATAGTTCGGGCTAGGCCCCTTAGTTGTGCTTCCAACTTTTTGGCAACAGTTTGGGGGAAGGCCATTTCCTGTTTCAGCATAACAATGCCCCCATGCACAAAGCGAGGTCCATACAGAAATGGTTTGTCGAGATCGGTGTGGAAGAAATTGACTGGCCTGCACAGAGCCTTGACCTCAACCCCATCTAACACCGTTGGGATGAATTGGAACTCCGACTGCGAGCCAGGCCTAATTGCCCAACATCAGTGACCGACATCACTAATGCTCTAGTGGCAGAATGGAAGCAAGTCCCCGCAGCAATGTTCCAACATCTAGTGGAAAGCCTTCACAGAAGAGTGGAGGCTGTTATACCAGCAAAGGGGGTCCAACTCCATATTAATGCCCATGATTTTTGAATGAGATATTTGACGAGCAAGTGTCCACATACTTTTGGCAATGTAGTGTACCTAGCTGTTGTGGAGCTAGCTAGTAACGCTAACAAACTGGCTTTGCTAGTACAAAGATAAATGTAACAGCTTTTATTCACAGAGCCCTTTGGCCCTTTGTTAGCTAACGTAACAATTCTTTATGATGTGCGACATTTAATGATGTTATTGGGCTATGTGTGCTTGTTATTTGCTAACATTGCTTTGTTTCAACTGTATCATTTTACAAACTGGCTTTGCTAGTACAAAGATAAATGTAACAGCTTTTATCCACAGAGCCCTTTGGCCCTTTGTTAGCTAACGTAATAATTCTTTATGATGTGCGACACTTAATGATGTTATTGGGCTATGTGTGCTTGTTATTTGATAACATTGCTTTGTTTCAACTGTATTGTTTTACTGTATCCCCCCCCCCCCCTTTCATTGTGAATTAGATGTCAGAGGATTTGTTGAAACAGTTGGGCAGCTACAAAGCACAGTTGCAACAAGTGGAAGCCGCCTTATCAACCGACCCTGAAAATGAAGACCTTCTCAAATTACAGAAAGACTTATCGGTAACTTGTTAGCCATGGCCAAGAACATTTTAGTTTTTACACAGAGTGTCAAAATGTTTCTTAGTGTCTCTCTGTCTTCAAATGTGTTATTATCCAGGAATTAAATGACCTCAATTATGTATCCTTCACAGGAAGTCATAGACTTAACAAAAGACCTCCTGACGTCGCAGCCCTCTGAAGGTACTGCTTGTGCCAACAGCTCAGATTCAGCCCCCCTGAAACACAGGTGGAGTGTTGGGGACAGGTGTATGACTGTGTGGAGTCAGGATGGACAGTGAGTATCACCAGAAGCTCCTCAGTCAATAGTCAACCTGAATATTCAACTGATACTTTACCAATTTTACAAGGTCGTCTTTGTTTGTCTTGCTTGTACATATGTGGTCTTGACTTCATTTGACCTACACTATTCTAATTTATTTGTTTGATGAAGCAGTGATAGACATGACAAGGCTGTTGTGATAGATTTTGTGTGAAGGGCCTAGGCTGTGAATAAGAACAGTAACAGAAATGCACATCTGTAATTCTTTATAATTGTGTAGTAGGCCTTGAGTCTGTGGCTTGTACTCACCTGCTTACAGCCGGGATTCTTTGACAGGGTGTATGAGGCTGAGATTGAGGAGATAGACGGCGAGAATGGCACGGCGGCCATCACCTTCTCCGGCTACGGGAACGCAGAGGTGGTGCCACTGCAGAACCTCAAACCTGCCGAGGAGGGCAAGCACTCTGGGGATGACGGGAAATCCAAGTCCAGGTAGGAGAGACAACACATATGTTAATTAAGTATGTCCTGTGTCGGGTCAGGAGTTTCCCTTGTTTCCAGTTCTTGATGATGTCCAGAAGAGTCCATGGCTGATCTAAAATTGTAACTTTGGGTGTGTGTGTGCGCCATGACAGGAAGGAGCAGATAGCAGACCAGAGAGAGTACAAGAAGAAGAAGGCCCAGAAGAAGGTGCTGAGGATGAAGGAGCTGGAACAGGAGCGAGAAGACCAGAAATCCAAGTGGCAGAGTTTTAACAACAAGGCCTATAACAAGAACAAGAAAGGACAGGTGACATGCATATTGATCTACTTTACACACATCTTAACACTAGAAATGCCGGGCCTTGAGCCATCCCGTTCTGAGCCAATGACCCGTCATTATGATGTCAACATCCTAACAGTCTAATAAATACATTTGATATATGCTATTGCAAAAATAGTCCTTTGGTTGTGTTTATGAATGTCTTAGGTAACATTAGAATATGCATTTTCCACCCAAAGAATATAATAGCATTTTCAATAGTTTGTTCTAAATCAAATCAAATGTTATTGGTCGCATACACATATTTAGCAGATGTTATTGAGGGGGTAGCGAAATGCTGATGTTCCTACTCCAACAGTGCAGTAATATCTAACAATACACACAAATCTAAAAAGTAAAAGAATGGATTTAAGAGATATAGAAATATTAGGACAAGCAATGCTGTAGTGTGAGTATGTGTATGGGATGTATAGACAATATGGATAGAATATGTAGTGTATCTGATTAATAGTGTGTATATATATATATATATATATATATATATATATATATATATATATATATATACATACAGCAATAGTTAAAGAGGATAGGCCTTGACTAGAATACAGTATATACATATGAAGTGGGTAAAACCATATTTAAACCTTATTTAAAGGGACCAGTGTTCCATGACTATGTACATGGGGCAGCAGCCTCTAAGGTGCATGGTAGAGTAACCGGGTGGTAGCCGTCTAGTGACGGTGGCTAAAATTCAGGGCAGGGTACTGGGCGGGGGCTGGCCAGTGGTGACTATTTAACAGTCTGATGGCCTTGAGATAGAAGCTGTTTTTCGGTATCTCGGCCCCAGCTTTGATGCACCTGTACTGACCTCGCCTTCTGGATGGTAATGGGGTGAACAGGCCGTGGCTTGGGTGGCTGAGGTCCTTCATGATCTTCTTGGTCTTTCTGTTACACCGGCTGCTGTAGATATCCTGGAGAGCAGGCAGTGTGCCCCTTGTGCTGCGTTGGGCAGACTGCATACCAGGTGGTTATACTGCCCGACAGGATCCTCTCAATGGTGCATCTGTAACAGTTTGTGAGGATCTTAGAGGCCAAGCCGAATTTCTTCAGCCGCCTGAGGTTGAAGAGGCGCTGTTGTGCCTTCTTCACCACACTGTCTGTGTGGACCATTTCAAATTGTCAGTGACGTGTACTCCTTGGAACTTGAAGCTTTTCACCTTCTCCACTGCGGCCCCGTCTATGTGATGGGGGCGTGCTCCCTCTGCTATCTCCTGAAGTCCATAATCTGCTCCTTCGTTTTATTGAAGGGAGGTTATTTTCCTGGCACCACTCCGCCAGGGCCCTCACCTCCTCCCTGAAAATATTATTATTGTCCAGATGGGATAGGGCAGTGTCATGGCGATTGTGTCATCTTTGGATCTATTGGGACGATATGCAAATTGCAGTGGTTCTAGGGTGGAGGTGGAGGTGATATGATCCTTAACTAGCCTCTCAAAGCACTTCATGATGAAAGAAGTGAGCGCTACATGGCAATAGTCATTTAGTTCAGGTATCTTCGCTATCTTGGTTACAGGAATAATGGTGGACCTCTTGAAGCAAGTGGGGACAACAGACTGGGATAGAGAGAGATTGAATATGTCCGTAAACACTCCAGCCAGCTGGTCTGTGCATGCTCTGAGGATGCGGCTAGGGATGCCTTCTGGGCCAGCAGCCTTGCGAGGGTTAACATGCTTAAATGTTTTACTCAGGTCGGAGAACGAGAGCTCACATTCCACGGGAGTGGTGGTGGCCCGCGTCGGCGGCACTGTTTCCCTCGAAGTGGGCGAAGAAGGCGTTTAGCTTGTACGGGTGAAAGACGTCAGTGTCTTGCCATCTATCCACGGTTTTTGGTTTTAATCGTCACAGTGGGAACAACATCCCCTATACACTTCCTGATAAACTCAGTCACCGTGTCAATGTATACGTCAATGTTATTCTCAGAGGCAACCTGAAACATATCCCAGTCCGCGTGATCAAAACAATCTTGAAGCATGGATTCCTATTAGTCAGACCAGCGTTGAACAGTCCTTACCACGAGTACTTCCTGTTTGAGTTTCTGCCTATAGGAATGGAGGAGCAGGATGGAGATGTGATCTGATTTGCCGATGGGAGGGCCTTGTAGCCGTCCCGGAAGGGAGAGTAGCAATGTTCGAGAGTTTTTGAAGCAGGCTTCGCTAGTGTTCCTCAGATTTGCTTTAGAAATGCAGTTACAATAAATGCGGTCTCAGGATATGCGGTTTCCAGTTTGCACAAAGTCCAGTGGAGTTCCTTGAGAGCCGTCGTGGTATCGGCTTAAGGGGGAATATACACGGCTGTGACGATGACCGAAGACAATTCTCTCAGGAGGTAATGCGGTCGGCATTTGATTGAGGTATTTTATGTTGTGTGAACAAAAAGACTTGAGTTCCTGTACATTCCAACAATCGCACAATGTTACTGTAGGCTACATGTAAAAACGAAAACATAAACACCAAAATTCAGTGTTGAATCCATCACAAAGAAATGCATTATGTCTTAAAGGTCCAATGCAGCCGTTTTTACCTCAATGTCAAATCATCTCTGGGATAAATTAACTACCTTACTGTGATTTGTTTTCAATTAAAATGGTCAAAAATAGCTTCTTAGCAAAGAGCAATTTCTCAAGCAAGAATTTTGATAGGTCTGTCTGTGTGGGAGGGGGAAACTGGAAATTAGCTTTTATTGGCAGAGAGGATTGGAACTCTCTTTCTTATTGGTCTATTAAGTAATTTACTGCCTGTTGATGTCGCCAGGCAGGACAAATCTCCATCCCACCAAAACAGTCTGAAATTTCAGGCTGTCTTTTCAAACAGCTCTTACGCTGAAAAGGGCATTATCATTTTCATAATTTCACTGTATTATTCCAACCTCATAGTTCAGAAATGTATATAAAACAAAGAAAAATCACTTTTGACTGTACTGGGCCTTTAAGAAACATTATGATCCTAAGAAAATGTATTTTAAAAGAACAGAATAGCATACTTTAAGTGTCATGTTACCAATTGTTGCTTAGTAGCCTAGGCAATATGGTGCAGGGAGTGCTCACATGTTGAAAGCATGGATTCTTAGTTATTCTTGGGGGGGGAAATTATATTTAGAAATACAGCCCTTCCACTCGTGAGTTTTGGCTAAAAGTTTTTTTGAGAAACCTTAGAATATGCTCTTTCTGATGGGTAATATAAATCTGAGCTGGATGAACCTATCTGTAAGATGATTTGGAAAAGTAGCTTTTTTGTAAGCTTTTTGGTAAGCTCAATTACACACACCTCGTCTCTTCATTGACAATTGATAATATTGTCACCCATCAGACTTTTGTCAATTTAATCTTGTCTTTAGGTTACATCTATTATGTGTGAAGTTAGTTTAGATATAGTTTAGCTGTAGTTTCGATGGGCTATAATCAAATGGGCAGCCAACTCTCGTGATGGAAGGGCATGGGAAAGAAAATGACATGTCCTCCTTAAACTGCTTATAACACGATCTGTTTGTAATCAAAATTCTAACAACGTCAATGTGTTAAATAGACTTATTTAGGAATATTCAAGGATGGAGGGGGACATTACTTAAATAATCGCAGAGGTATTACCATTTTAAATTCATATGAAATCAAAATGACTGTCTGCGCTTCTAGTGTTAAACTAAGTAACTTTTCAAATGTTATTTTCACATTTTCAGCTGTTGCTTTTTCACAGGAGAAGTACCATAACAAATAGTCTTACTGAGATTTCCATTGTGTGTTGCAGGTGAAGAGGAGTATATTTGCATCGCCGGAGAGTGTAAACGGAAAGGTGGGAGTAGGAACATGTGGCATTGCAGACAAACCCATGACCACGTATCACGACACATCCAAATATAACGTCAGGCATCTAATGCCACAGTGACCGAACATGTTATCTTGGTGTTAAAATATCCCATTGTATAGTAGCAGGATCAGTGCTTACCATTGTGGTTATATGGTTTAGGTTACCCCAGTAAAGGAGCTTTGAAACAAATTGCTTGCTCACCATTGGTTGGCTCATTGGGAAATTGTCCTTACCAGTATATCACATAGAACAGCAGAATTCTTAATAAAATAAATTACCCCTGTAATGGAGTCACAGCACAAATAACGGTTGTGGTGAAATTAGTCTGGGTTGCTGTATCCTTCTGAATGCAACAAAGGCCAAAAAACTATGTTCATGTTTCAATGTTACACATTTATAGATTTTTCAGAGTGAACTGGACTATAATATCATACATTTTTACGGTTTAGTGATAAGACCCTTTTTAAAGCAAGTCATACAAAGCTAATTTTACATTTCAGCTTTGTAAATTTACAAGGAAACAAATTGTGGTTTTTGTTTAGAGGTTAGATGCCCCTCTCTCATTTTGCCCTGAAATTGGGCCTTAACTTAAGTCTGAATAATTTTTCATATTGGTACTGAATGTTGTTTAACACAGTTCCTCCAGATGCCAGTAATGTATTTTGTACCATCTTTGTTCTGTGATGTACGTCAATGACCTTATGTCACTGCTGGTAATAGAAGTTTTTATTATTTTTTTATTAAAATCAGGGATGAGTTGTTGATTCTCCTATTAAACGCTCATGTTTATGTGATTTATTGTGAGGTTTTGTCTCTGGTACTAGTGCATAAGTGTGCAATCTGCAGATAGAAATGTATTGAATAGAAAATACATGATTTCAGTCATGAAGAATATATAATATCTTATAGCTTTGGACACCACAATGACAAAGAACAACTGAACACTGTATAGGTACATGGGGTGGTAGAGGTTTATTGATCAGGTTTTCAAGGGACCATTACCATGAACTACCCAAAATAGTAGCAGGGGACCAGCAATATATTATTTGTAAAAGTCACCTTTGATGGCTGATTTAGCACAGTAGAGTGTTCAGAGACACTTTCTTAGTCCAAGTCTTTTTCAAAATGCGTTGAAAAATACTGACATTGAATAAGGACTTGGAACTAAGAAACCTGTGCAAGAGTCAATTTAGCCATGTTAAGACACAGTTGGTGGTGATAATATTTTTAGTTGTACCACAAAAATATGGGTATGGTCATAAGATGAAATGTCCAATTTGGTTAGTGGAATAATCATGGGAAAGTGATTTTTGTAGACAAATACTCAAAATATACAGTTTCAGGGTTTTAACTTTGGAATGCTTCTCAACTACATTACAAAAAATAAGTTACTAAATAAGGATGCGATTCAAAACTCATAATTTAAATTCCTCCATGTGCTATTGTTCATGCTACAAAGACATGCGCCCTCAACTGGTCAATCCAAAGCACATGACAACAAAATTGAAAGCTACATTCAATACACATGCACCATTACTTTTTTGTTCCAACTTTTACAGCCATGTTATCTTACTATTGATTACTATTTGTAATTAATACATCTATTGAAGTTGCATACTAAATGAGCATGTTAAATTTGGTGTTGGACGGACAAAATTGTGTGCCAAAAACAGCCAACTGAAGAGTTGACATAACTGGCAAAAAGTGTTATTGCTTCAGAATTGTGCTTGGGAAGTGCGGGATAGCTTATTATAGCTGCTTACTGTATACAAACATTACTTTTGAAATCTCAAGGGGGATAGATGTCAATCATCTCACAAAAGAGGCCACTGAGTGAAACATTTAGCCTGTCCTGTACCATTGCACTAGCTTTTGTCTAGGATAACTTGTCAAACAATGCTCAGTTCAAAACCACAACAGACTTATATAAAACTTCACTTTACAGTTGTCAAAACATCTAAATAATATTTTTCATTTCATAATTCAGGTGTGACCAAGACATACAGTACAACACGATAAATATTGGAAAAATAAATACATTTCTCAATTATATTCTAATAAATTAGGAATAACATTGGTGACTTGTGTTAAAGATTTTGGGTGTAATTGTGGTTTATTCAAGCTGTAGGTACCGTATTAGAGCTGGTTTGGAGTGCAGATATAGAAGCGCTAGTGACTTGCTTGGTGAGTAATGAGAATTGTTTTTTCCTAGAGGGTCATCTACTAGGGGTTTCCAAAGTGTGTGTGGGGTGGTGGGGGGAGTGGCACTGGTGAGCTTCTGGCTGGTTTTATGTGGGGGTTTTGTGCTGGCTTTAGGAGGATACGGGTAACATTAGACTGTAGGTGCAGTCGCCCACATCAGAGGCAAGATTTACAGTTGTTGTAGTAGGATTAGTCCACTTTAAAACTGCAGGTGGGGTTTAGCTTTAAACTGGTTCTTAGGAGGAGAAGGCTAGTTTAGACTACAGGTGGTTGATATTTAGGCTGGTTCATAAGAGGAGAGGTCCAGTTTTAGACTTCAAGAGGAGTTGAACTTCAGGCTGGTTCTTTGTACAGTACCAGTTATAGACTGCAGGTGGAGTGGAGTTTTAGGCTGGTTCTTAGGAGAAGGCCAGTTTAGACTGCAGCTGTGGATGAGGAACTTCAGGCTGGTTCTTAGGAGGAAAAGGTCTGTTTAAGACTGCAGGTGGAGTAGCCCTCGTCGCTGGCCAGGCTCTGCCGACTGCTGTGGTCATCCAAGTCACTGCAGCCACTGGTGCTGATACTGTCCAACTCTCCATGGGAGAACTCAGTGCTTTCCACATCCACCTCGATCTCTTCTACAGAAATTGGGGTGAGAGGAAAATATTTTATAATGATCATCCCACGCTTAGTAATAAGATAATCGTATTGATTGACAACTAATGCTTGATGACACCCAATTCTACATTATAGACTGTAACAAATGTAAATTCTATTAACCGGTTTGAAATGGAACTGAACCAAACTGTTTCTTAGTATAATATACAGTGCCTTCAGAAAGTATTCATACCCCTTGACTTATTCCACATTTTGTTGAGTTACAGACTGAATTAAAAAATGATTACATAGATTTTGTAGGTTAGCCTGCCCTCTTGTGGTATTATATATAACTACATGTATGAAACATATTTCTCTACATAAAATCTTCTAAAGGCATCCGCATCCCATCTGTAACAGTTGTGCATATATTATGATGACATTTTGTGACGTTTTTGTTCATTTTGGTCTTCGCTCCTTCGTCTGTGATTGGTCAACAATTGGTCACACTGCTGCTACTCTCTGTTTTTATTATCTATGCATAGTCACTTTACCCCTACCGACATGTACATATTACCTCCATTATCTCGACTAACCTGTACCCCTGCACATTGACTCGGTACCGGTAGCCCTTGTATATATTTTTATTGTGTTACTATTTTTTCCTTAGTTTAGCAAATTTTTCTTACTTACTTTTTTAAAACTCTGCATTGTTGGTTTTAAGGGCTCATAAGTAAGCATGGTAAGGTCTACTACACCTGTTGTATTCGGCAGATGTGATAAATACAATTTCATTTAATTTGAATAGTAGGGATTCTTATTCAAGTGTTTGTTGTTGTTCAATGAGAAACACATTTTTTTACTTGAGAAATACTGCACCAAACATCTAAGTTAGATGTCAAATTTCACAACTAAGACCTCGGCAAAAACGTCAAAATTACTGGCAGATTTCTTGATTTATCTTAGATTAATTCTGACTACTTTGAGGAAGTACTGTGCCTTGCAAAAGTATTCATCCCCATTGGCGTTTTTCCTATTTTGTTGCATTTCAACCTGTAATTTAAATTGATTTTTATTTGGATTTCATATAATGGACATACACAAAATAGTCCAAATTGGTAAAGTGAAATGAAAAAAAATGACTTGTTTCAAAAAATTCTAAAACATAAATAACGGAAAAGTTGTGCGTGCATATGTATTCACCCCCTTTGCTATGAAGCCCCTAAATACGATCTGGTGCAACCAATTACCTTCAGAAGTCACATAATTAGTTAAATAAAGTCCACCTGTGTGAATAGTTATGCACGCTCAAGTCTTCTGTTTTTTTGTCTTTTTCTTGTTTGTTTCACAATAAAAATTATTTTGCATCTTCAAAGTGGTAGGCACGTTGTGTAAATCAAATGATACAAACCCCCATTTTAATTCCAGGTTGTAAGGCAACAAAATAGGAAAAATGCCAAGGGGGGTGAATACTTCCGCAAGCCACTGTATACAGTGCCTTCAGAAAGTATTCACACCCCATGACTTTTTCCACATTTTGTTGTGTTACAGCCTGAATTCAAAATGGATTAAATTGATTTTGAAATACAGAAATATCTAATTTACATAAGTATTCACACCCCTGAGTCAATCAATACTTTGTAGAAGCATCCTTTCTGGGTATGTCTCTATGAGCTTTCCACACCTGGTTTGTGCATCATTTGCCCATTATTATTTTCAAAATTCGTCAAGCTATGTCAAATTGGTTGTTGAGCATCGCTAGACAACCATTTTCAGGTCTTGCCATAGATTTTCAAGTAGATTTAAGTCAAAACTGTAACTCGGCCACTCAGGAACATTCACTGTCTTCTTGGTAAGCAACTCCAATGTAGATGGACTTGTTTAGGTTATTGTCCAGCTGAAAGGTGAATTCACCTCCCAGTGTCTGGTGGAAAGCAGACTGAACCATGTTTTCCTCTAGGATTGTGCCTGTGCTTAGCTCCATTCCGTAAATTTTTTTATCCTGAAATATTCCCCAGTCCTTAACAATTACAAGGATACCCATACCATGATGCAGCCACCACTATGCTTGAAAATATGGAGAGTGGTATGCAGTAATGTATTGTGGATTTGCCCCAAACATAACACTTTGTATTCAGGACAAAAGGTTAATTGCTTTGCCACATTTTATGCAGTATTACTTACAGTGAGGGAAAAAAGTATTTGATCTCCTGCTGATTTTGTACGTTTGCCGACTGACAAAGAAATGATCAGTCTATAATTTTAATGGTAGGTTTATTTGAACAGTGAGAGACAAAATAACAACAACAAAATCCACAAAAACCCATGTCAAAAATGTTATAAATTGATTTGCATTTTAATGAGGGAAATAAGTATTTGACCCCCTCTCAATCAGAAAGATTTCTGGCTCCCAGGTGTCTTTTATACAGGTAACGAGCTGAGATTAGGAGCACACTCTTAAAGGGAGTGCTCCTAATCTCAGCTTGTTACCTGTATAAAAGACACCTGTCCACAGAAGCAATCAATCAATCAGATTCCAAACTCTCCACCATGGCCAAGACCAAAGAGCTCTCCAAGGATGTCAGGGACAAGATTGTAGACCTACACAAGGCTGGAATGGGCTACAAGACCATCGCCAAGCAGCTTGGTGAGAAGGTGACAACAGTTGGTGCGATTATACGCAAATGGAAGAAACACAAAATAACTGTCAATCTCCCTCTGCCTGGGGATCAATGCAAGATCTCACCTCGTGGAGTTGCAATGATCATGAGAACGGTGAGGAATCAGCCCAGAACTACACGGGAGGATCTTGTCAATGATCTCAAGGCAGCTGGGACCATAGTCACCAAGAAAACAATTGGTAACACACTACGCCGTGAAGGACTGAAATCCTGCAGCGCCCGCAAGGTCTCCCTGCTCAAGAAAGCACATATACAGGCCCGTCTGAAGTTTGCCAATGAACATCTGAATGATTCAGAGGAGAACTGGGTGAAAGTGTTGTGGTCAGATGAGACCAAAATCGAGCTCTTTGGCATCAACTCAACTCGCCGTGTTTGGAGGAGGAGGAATGGTGCCTATCAACCCCAAGAACACCATCCCCACCGTCAAACATGGAGGTGGAAACATTATGCTTTGGGGGTGTTTTTCTGCTAAGGGGACAGGACAACTTCACCGCATCAAAGGGACGATGGACGGGCCATGTACTGTCAAGTCTTGGGTGAGAACCTCCTTCCCTCAGCCAGGGCATTGAAAATGGGTCGTAAATGGGTATTCCAGCATGACAATGACCCAAAACACACGGCCAAGGCAACAAAGGAGTGGCTCAAGAAGAAGCACATGAAGGTCCTGGAGTGGCCTAGCCAGTCTCCAGACCTTAATCCCATAGAACATCTGTGGAGGGAGCTGAAGGTTCGAGTTGCCAAATGTCAGGCTTGAAACCTTAATGACTTGGAGAAGATCTGCAAAGAGGAGTGGGACAAAATCCCTCCTGAGATGTGTGCAAACCTGGTGGCCAACTACAAGAAATGTCTGACCTCTGTGATTGCCAACAAGGGTTTTGCCACCAAGTACTAAGTCATGTTTTGCAGAGGGGTCAAATACTTCCCTCATTAAAATGCAAATCAATTTATAACATTTTTGACATGCGTTTTTCTGGATTTTTTTGTTGTTATTCTGTCTCTCACTGTTCAAATAAACCTACCATTAAAATTATAGACTGATCATGTCTTTGTCATTGGGCAAACGTACAAAATCAGCAGGGGATCAAATACTTTTTTCCCTCACTGTAAGTGCCTTGTTGCAAACAATATGCATGTTTTGGAATATTTGTATTCTATACAGGCTTCTTTCCCTCTGTCAATTAGGTTAGTATTGTGGAGTAACTACAATATTGTTGATCCATCCTCAGTTTTCTCCTATCACAGCCTTTAAACTCTGTAACTGTTTTAAAGTCACCATTGGCCTCATGGTGAAATCCCTGAGCCGTTTCCTTCCTCTCCGGCAACTGAGTTAGGAATGACCCCTGTATCTTTGTAGTGATTGGGTGTATTGATACACCATCCAAAGTGTAATTAATAACTTCACCATGCTCAAATGAATATTCAATTTTTATGTTTACCTATCTACCAATAGTTGCCCATCTTTGAGAGGCATTGGAAAACCTCCCTGGTCTTTGTGGTTTAATCTGTCTTCACTGAAATTCACTGCTCGACTGATGGACCTTACAGATAATTGTATGTGTGGGTACAGAGATGAGGTAGTCAATCCAAAAACATTTTAAACACTATTATTGCACACAGAGTGAGTCCATGCAGCATATTTTTACTCCTGAAGTTATTTAGGCTTGCCATAACATTTTAGCTTTTCATTTTTTATGAATTTGTAAAAATGTCTAAAACATAATTCCACTTTGACATTATGGGGTATTGTGTGTAGGCCTATGACAAAATAAATCTCTATTTAATCCATTTTAAATTCAGGTTGTAACACAACAAAATGTGGAAAACGTAAAGGGGTCTAAATACCTTTTTTTTGTTTTTCCTTTTTCTCCCCAATTTCATGTATCCAATTGGTAGTTACAGTCTTGTCCCATCACTGCAACTCCCGTACGGACACCGGAGAGGCGAAGGTCGAGAGCCGTGCGTCCTCCGAAACACAACCCAACCGAACCGCACTGCTTGTTGACACAATGCCTGCTTAACCCGGAAGCCAGCCGCACCAATGTGTCGGAGGAAACACTGTACACTTGGAGACTTGGACACGTGGGGTCTGAATACTATCTGAAGGCACTGTAACATTGCCACTGTCAGACGAAATATGCAGGGAGTAACTAAGCTCTGTGGAATGGTTGGCTCACCTCGGTCCGAGTGTTCTGAGGCCAAAGGGGAACCTACGCTGTCCATATGGACCATGTCCCTGTCTCCGTCTCCAGGGTTCTGTAGGTGGGCCAGCTGCCTCTGCAGGTGCCTCTGCTCACGCTCCAGGCTCTCCAGCTGGTGCTGACTCCTCCGGTCCATCTCCTCTAGTTTCTACACAAAAACAGAGAGGAGAGAAAGTTAATCAACCTTATGTGTGGATTACCCTTCGAATTTGTTGGTATTTTACAGTGGTGGAAAAAGTACTCAATTGTCATACTTGAGTAAAAGTAAAATGCCTTAATATAAAATTACTTAAATAAAAGTGAAAGTAACCCAGTAAAATACTTCAATATCAAAAGTAAATGGAATTTCTAAAAGTAAAAGTATAAATAATTTAAAATTCCTTATATTAAGCAAACCAGACAGCACAATACATATATATTTTTATTTATTTACGGATAGCCAGGGGCACACTTGAACACTCAGACATAATTCACAAACAAAGCATTTGTGTTTAGTGAGTCCGCCAGATCAGAGGCCGTAGGGATGACCAGGGATGTTCTCTTGATAAGTGCGTGAATTGGACCATTTCCCTGTCAAAATGTAACAAGTACTTTTGGGTATCAGGGAAAATGTATGGAGTAAAAAGTACATTATTTTCTTTAGGAATGTAGTGAAGTAAAAGTTGGCAAAATATAAATAGTAAAGTACAGATACCCAAAAAACAACTTAACTAGTACTTTAAAGTATTTTTACTTAAGTACTTTACACCACTGGTATTTTATGAATAATACTTGCATATAAATAAATGGTGTAGGCTAAGGAGCAGCTATTTATCAAATTTCATCAGACATCTGCACATAGTATGACACAGCCCTCTGTCGTACAGTCATTCACAGATATTCCGTTTTACTGTACAAATTATAGAATCTTCAACAGCTGCCATTTACAAACAGATTTAAAATTGAATAATGTTTTTATTTTTATTTTACTCTACTTTTGCGACAACACAAATTCTGCCCATTCAAGATTGAGGGACAAACTGTGTGTGTTCTTCTGAGCCTGAATAATCATATGTGAATTTATCCACATCAGACCAGGCTAAAAATACCAACAGATCCAAACGGCTGTAGTGGCAAAGTAATTCCTGACATTTTTGTACGATGGCCAAATGCAGAGCTGGATTTTCTGCTTGTAGGAAAACAAGGGCAATGGCTGGGTTGGTTAAGGTTGAGCATACAAGCCACTCTTTCTTTCACTTTGTATTTTCATTCTGAAACACAGCAATGTGCCAAACATTTCTCAGATCAATTAGAAATACTTTTTCAGAGTTCACAAGGGGGTGACAAATAGGTTCCAGACTACATCTACACCTGGATAAAAGGGAAAATAAAAGCTTTCTAACCAATCATGTTTGATAAATCAGTTATACCCATTAAAGGTATATCCCCATTTCCATTGCATTTGCTTGCGTTTCCAGGCCCACAAGTGTGCAGCCAGGAGTAGCAAGTGATTTGCAGGCTGAGGAAGTAGATCACATTGTGTTTGTGTGCTGCAGTGCTATGGCAGGTCATGGAGCACACAGCTTCTCTATCCATAGGCAAGGGGCTTCCATTGAACCATTCACCAGATCCCATAACACCATGGTCCCCATGACACCACCGTGGTGGCATTGTTGACTACAGTACCTTAATGTGCCCCTTGGCCTTGTTGAGCAACCCCAGGGTAGTGTGCCGACTGCAGTCTGGTCCCAGTGGGATCAGTGTCTTCAACCTCTCCAAACACAGGCGGAGATGTGCTCGTCTAAGAGGGTGAAGAAACAACAGAGGACTACTCTTTAGTGAAACCAATAATAGGAATGGTCTCTCTACATCCAGATGCAATTCCTGGATTTGATGAGGCCCTATTCCCATCCCCTCTACGTCGATGGATGAATATCTTTGGAGGTAATTAGTCATTGATCTGGTTATTATACTGAACAAAAGTATAAATTCAACATGCAACAATTTCAACGATTTTACTGAGTTACAGTTATATTAGGAAATCAGTCAATTGAAATAAATTCATTAAACCCTAATCTATGGATTTCAAATGACTGGGAATACAGATACAGTATGCATCTGTTGGTCACAGATACCTTAAAAATAATGGGCCTCACAATGGGCCTCAGGATTTCATCACAGTATTTTTGTGCATTCAAATTGCCATCGGTAAAATGCAATTGTGTTCGTTGTCCGTAGCTTATGCCTGCCCATACCATAACCCTACGGCCACCATGGGGCACTCTGTTCACAACGTTGACATCAGCAAACCGCTCGCCCACACGACGCCATACACATGGTCTACGGTTCTGAGGCCGGTTGGACGTAATGCCAAATTCTCTAAAACGACGTTGGAGGTGGCTTATGGTAGAGAAATTGACATTAAATTATCTGGCAACAGCTCTGGTGGGCATTCCTGCAGTCAGCATGCCAATTGCACGCGCCCTCAAAACTTGAGACATCTGTGGCATTGTGTTGTGTGACAAAACTGCACATTTTTATTATTATTGTCCCCAACTTCTTGATATGCCACACCGATCAGGTGGATGGATTATTTTGGCAAAGGGGAAATGCTCACTAACAGGGATGTAAACAAATTTGTGCACAACCTTTGAGAGAAATAAGCTTTTTGTGCGTATGGAACATTTCTGGGATCATTTATTTCAGCTCATGAAACTTGGGACCAACACTTTACATGTTGCATTTATATTTTTGTTCAGTATAGTAATTGATTGACCTACAAAAGCAGACCCTTTATATTATTTTCCATTTTGTTGGATAGAAAGGCTAATACATTACTTATAGTCTGGGCCCAGAGCTGCTGAACATCCTAGTGTCTAGATTTGGAAGGGTGTTGTCCTTACATTCAAATGCATTGAAATGTAGGTTAAATTGGGATGACAACTCCTGTCTCGCTAATGATGACCAACCCCTTTGTAGTGCAATTTGAGATTAAGCTATTATCATCCAGAGGCCTGGGCCATCCCTCTTCTGTGTTCTATGATGATTCCCACACTAGCTGCTCTCTACATATTAGCCCATGTCACTGTATTTTGGGAACCGTGCCCTGACATGTTCTTCTTATTGGAACCAAAGATCAGGCCCTGTGCAATAAGCTGCTTTTCAATGCACAGAAAAGCTTAGTTTACGTGGAGGGAAACACACTGTCTGAAACAAGCAGTTCCAGTTCCAACTGTGGACACGTTGTATGGTTGTCTTCCAAGAACAACCTGTACTGGACTGAACTCCCTGATTTGCCTTGCAAAACATACATCTCTGCTCTACCACCAGGATGCTAGCATGCTAATGACCACCACTGTACAAACAAACTTGACATTGTGAAGGTGTTGATAAAAGAAGTGTTGTTTGAAGTCCAGCTGTAAAATAAGCCGCTTTATAAGCCAGTATTACATTTTCAAATTCTGGGTCAATATATTTAGCCTAACATCAGGATATGCTAAATAAATGCAGCCTCCAGAGTATTTTGGATTATCAGCTTGAGGTTCCATTTTGAAAAGACAGCTGGCTCTGGAGATAAAGTCCCCGGAAATAGCTATTTGCCACACCACATAAAATGTTACGAAATTTGTAGCAAAACAACATCCCTGTATTTGTATTTATTATGGATCCCCATTAGCTGCTGCCAAGGCAGCAGCTACTCTTCCTGGGGTCCAGCAAAATGAAGGCAGTTATACATTTTTTTTTTTTTACATTACAATACATTCACAACAGATTTCACAACATATTAAGTGTGTGCCCCTGTGTTACTTGTGTACTATCAAACCATGTAGCAGTCTGCACAGTTGAATTATTATGTGGATATGATGTTTGATATGCACCAAGACAGGTTATGCACCATAAGATATATTAGGCCTATATCTCTTTGACTAATTAATTATCATGTAACTCAAGTGTTTTACCCCATGTTACACAGTTGTGGACCAAATCACAGTCGGGTGGGGAATCAGAGTAGAGAAGAACATGGTAGATGAATGCACATTCAGTACTTGCAGAGATCTTCAATTGATCAACAATAACCACTGTCAATGGAAATATTCGCAATGGCCTCTAACACAGTCACAACCCCTTCTGACTCACCTATTTTTTTCCAGCTCATTGTGTGCTGATCTGGGTGTAAAACAAAATGGACAGGTTATAGACCATATACTTAGATAGACATCGCATCATTGTATCTATCTTATTATGGCATCTGTGAGAGCATGGGCAGTGCCATTGAGGCCATTTCCATTTTGAAGTAGTCCATTTTCTTCTACTACTTCTATGAGTTAGCAAACTAACAGAAACGGTGCATACTGCCACCTAAAGTGTGTTGTTTGAACAGGTATAAAGCCAAGGTTTACGATTTACTGCCACCTGCAGTTATGGAATGTTTGCTCACAAGTATAATTCATTGGCTGATCCCTCCTGATGACCCGGATGGAATCATGTGATCCTTTCTTGACCCATAGGAAGTCCCACCCAGTTTACTACTTCAAAATGGTGAAAGTGGTGCTGCCCATGCTAAAACTGGCTTTTGGGCACTAGAGACTTCTATCTATTTCTATGTTATAGACAGAAATCCAAAAACAAGATATGTTAGCAATAAGCTTTATAAAAGACTGGTTTGACAGTTTCTGTCTTGGTGCACTTTGTTTCTTCCAAGTCCAATAATGAAGAACGGGTAAAAAACAAAATGCTATCAAATCAAAGTCCACAGATTTGCAGGTGTTATAGCAGGTGCAGAGAAATGCTTATGTTACTTGCTCCAACAGTGCAATAGAATGTCTCCAAATACAATACAAATACACAAACAATCAAAAAATCTAAACAAGAAATCAAGAAATTACAGAATGGTCCACTTAACAATCCAGAGTAGATATATTAGAGTGAGCATGCAACTGTAATAACATGGGTATTTGTAATAACACAGTTATAAATAATTATGACAAGCTTAATTTACCTGTTGTGAATATTGTCAATTTTCTTATTTTTGAATTTCCGTTGTCTCTGATGATGCTTGTTCTGAGTTGCAGGGCATGTTGAGGCATATCCATGTTCACATTCTGTTGATGAAATATATATTTTTAACACATTAGGCCTTACATTATAGATTCTGTCATTTCTGTCAGACAAATACTTTTTTGTTTTGGTCTGTAACATTTGTGACATCAAGCTAGTCCCAAGACAACAGGGAATGAATAAACAACATGTCACATAGCCTACCTTCCCCTCCTGTCTATATCCTGCAGCTTCCAATCATCTGTCAATGTTGGCAAACAGTAATGTAGTCATACTGTTGATTATTGTAAAACAAAAATACAACAAAAAAAAAGTTTTCTTTTAAGTTTAGTAAAACTTGGGGAAATGCCTATAGCTTCACCCAACACTGTCTTTTACTTTCTCAACAGCTGATATGAGGACGGTTTTTAAGACACCCTCAATGCCTTTTGGGATAAATTCCATACAGATTATTTTGGATGTTTGTGCTACAAAGCAGGAAACCCATTTTGTACATGGTTTATTGAAAAATACCAACAAACTCTTTCTTCAAGACATAGGCCTATTCATTCATTACTAATTTTGAAATATCACTTAGTAGGCTATATTAGGCTACAGCAGACAATAACATGCATATATAATACTCAAATTATGTCCAATATAAAAACAATAACATGTATAATTGTCTAACATAGGCTATAAACGTTTTAACCCATTTCTGGCAATGTCAGTATAATAAAATGTCCAATATGAGATTGATGACAGAATTGTGTTAATGTAATATATTTTTTGATCTAATCCTAATTTGTGTATACATACACCTACCAATCCCACAGAATACATGTGACGTCAAAGTTTAACCTGGGTTTGATTGGGTATCTGAAAGGACTCTAGACGGGAACATGGGTTTAGTCCAATCAAAACGGTCAATTTTGCTCCATGTGGAAACCATGTGAACAACAGTGAAGATAAGAGGAAGAGCAACTGACAGAAATAAAGAAATAATAGGGCTGGCATTATAGAGCTTCTATATTCAGCCTCTGCATAATATGCAGATAAAAAACAAACAAAAAAGGGTTTATTTGCCTCATTTGACAGTTGGATTTGGTGTGAGCTAAATAAACATAGGTCTACGGATTATTTGCTTTTCTTCGGCCTGCAGGCATCCACATCCACAGCCAGAAATGGAAGGAAAACCTATGCTCAGCGTTGAGTAGGCTAGGCTAGGTTTAAAAATAAGGTGAGTGAGAGTTTGATAAATCGACTAGCCTATTATGTAGCCTAAATATTTTAATAAGTAGCCTAAATCGAAGGAAGACAAAGCTCAAAGGAAGACAGTCTAACGCACACAGGGCTGCCTTCATGGATACCATTAGAATATGTTTAGTTTAGACCTATTAATGTCTCTAAGAAAATAAACTCATGGAGCTATAGGCAAGTCTCATCCAATTTGAAAATGCACACTTGAATAGCCATTTAAATTCTGCTACCATTCGTGGAAAATGCCATAGTGGGTGAGAGCATAATTTTAAATCACAGGTTTGTTTTTGACCATGGATTGTTTTTGTAGGCTATATCTAATTCATAAACCATACAAAATATGTCCAGTGCAAGTGATTCATTTGAAATATTCCTAGCATTATCTAAACAAATGTGCATTGGCAGAATATGTTGAAATATTAGGCCTATTCACAATCAGACAAATGGAAGCAGGGGAGTCAGACAGTTGGCTCTCATGTTTACGCGTCTTTTGTCGCCCTAACCATCTCGGTCCATTGTTGTCTGCCTTGGCGAGTCTGCCTCTGAAATCACCAGAATAGCCTACATTACTTACTTCCGTTGTTCTTTTCATTGTTCTCAATGTAATTTGCTGCATCCAGCAACACCTGAACGTTTTTCATGAAAGTGTCGATTTGGTCCATTGCGGAACATTCGGAATATAGGACGTCGGAATATCCAGACATATCGCTAAAATCCTGTTGGTCCATGGACGCATCCGACTCCAAAAGGATCTCGCTCTGCTGTCTCATATATTTCACCATTTTATTTTATGAGAACTGCCAGCAGTCTGAATTTGGTCTCCTTGTCCAAACTGTGCAACGTGCAGAATGAGGGAGATACTGCAATGAATTGGAGTAGATGAAATTGTGCAGTCTGTGAGCCACTTGCCCTAGTTGGCGGTTAATCCCTCCCACCAACGCATGCACATTGCATTCACCGTTGTCAACTGTATGCAAGCCTTGTCATCAACATATTGCTGGAAAGCAACATTTACATGTATGTATAGTCTAACACAGCCCTACATCAGTATTCACAATATAGCTAATCCTGAAGAAAAATTACAACTCCCCGAAATGGACTGAATGTTTGGCTCAAGTGATCACTCTACCTTCATGATACAAATAGTTCACATAATTTGTAATGCAATTTGTTTTAGACTGATTTAAATAATTGCTCTACTTGTAATAGGGCGGCAGGTAGCTTAGTGGTTAAGAGCGTTGTGCCAGTAACCGAAAGGTCGCTGGTTCTAATCCCCGAGCCGACTAGGTGAAAAAATCTGTCGATGTGCCCTTGAGCAAGGCACTTAACCCTAATTGCTCCTGTAAGTCGCTCAGGATAAGAGCGTCTGCTAAATGACTAATTATTTTTATTTATTATTTTGTACAGTATGTTGTTGCTGTCCTTATACATTTAAGTCATTTAGCAGACGCTCTTATCCAGAGCGACTTACAGTTAGTGAGTGCATACATCATTTTTTATACTGGCCCCCCATGGGAATCAAACCCACAACCTTGGCGTTGCAAACACCATGCTCTACCAACTGAGCTACATCCCTGCCGGCCATTCCCTCCCCTACCCTGGACCAATTGTGCGCCGCCCCATGGGTCTCCCGGTCGCGGCTGGCTACGACAGAGCCTGGATACGAACCAGGATCTCTAGTGGCACAGCTAGCACTGCGATGCAGTGCCTTAGACCATTGCGCCACTCGGGAGACGCAATGACTAGCATCTGCATCAAAGCATTTACTAGTGATGGGGTAAAAACAAATCAATAGTGTGACCTGCTTAACAAGGACAGAGGAATTTAACCTATTGAAAATGTCTTCCTCTACCTATCACATCAAGTCCTCACATAAAGTGCATTGTCATCCGGCCTCAATCGATTTAATGTATTGAAGTAGGATGCTATGCAGGGCCTTGATATGATGGGAATGCACCACCAAAGTCATAGTTTAGAGTTTAAATGATTTCCCAATAGACAAAGTTTAATGGAATGCATTTATGAGTGCACACTGTGGAAGCACTTGGTATTTAAGTGATAATGCCAGAGAAGCCGGTGTTTGGAGGATATATTGGCACTGGTGTTGTTAGGCCCGAGACGAAGTCCAGTCGTTCAGTCTTTTTGTTCTGTATCTATGGATGTGACCCAGTCGTTCGTTCTAAATGTTCCATTACCATACTGGCTGGCAACGTTCTTATCCCTTGCTTGCTAGCTAGCCAACTACGGCTAACTTACAGTCACGTCAAAAAGTGCAGCCAGAGTAGCTGCATTTGCAATTGTTTAAGCTGTTTTCTAGTGACATTTATTTTAATACAACCATGACAATGAGGCGCGCATCGAAAATGTGCTCACTCGTCAGGACAATGTTCTCCAGAGGAGCTAGCCAACAACACACTTCAAACTGAAGCTGGAAAGACTGCAAACTAGCTGCACGTTTTGTTTGACCTTTTTTCAATTAACATTTCTTTGTATATATCCATAAAAATGATGTCAGCTGATTCATGATTTCGACTGGCTGAGAAATGGTGCCTGTCTATCTCGTCCCGACTGCCGACACGTTCATTACTATGAGACAGCTGGAGATCGAATTTGAATATTGAAACAATGTTGCAAATGTCGGAGAGACAGACAGCAAGGTTTATACAAATCTAAAAATTAGTCTAAAAGAAATGTGAGATAATGTCTAGATGCTTTTAATAGTGGAGATCAAGTTTATAAAGTGTCTGGCTGGGCTGATGAGACAGTGGATTGCACAGTCAGATGGAACAGAGTAAATAGGCGTTTTAACGTCATAGATTTAGCCGGTGGTAACTTGTGGAATTGACACCGGCTGGAATGCGGTTTTAACCAATCAGCTTTCAGGATTACACCCACCCGTTGTATAATATATAATATCCCACAGTCCTTCCCCAAGGTTTAGTCACTTTAGCACCCCCTGTTGCTACTTTGAGACAGTTTTAAAACAGTGAATACATAAACATACCATTTTCTGTAGAGAAGCATTATTTTCGAAGTTAAAATTTTGTATTTGTATGTTTGACTTACAGTAGCCTACTTCAATATACTTGACTTCTGAAAGAGTGAACTCTAAATAAATTAATCCATTGTGGGACCACTTCATGTGAACTACACAATCATATTGATTGCTCCATATAGAGCAGGGGTGTCAAACTCATTCGGTGGAGGGCTGAGTGTCTGCAGGCTTTTAGTTTTTCCTTTCAATTAAGACCTAGACAACCAGGTGAGGGGAGTTCCTTCCTAATTATTGACCTTAATTCATCAATCAAGTACAAGGGTGGAGCGAAAACCCACGGACACTCGGCCTTCCATGGAATGAGTTTGACTCGTGATATAAAGGATACCATGATAAAGCTATACAATAAAGCTTACCTTGAAATTGAATTAATTTCTAGTTGGACGGTCTATTACTATTGTGCCTTTGATTGATTAAGAAGTCATTTTTTCCTTGGCAGAGAAGGAAGGAGGAGGACAGAGGGTATTGGGGCTGTCTTTAGGGGGGCAGTCATGCGTGTGAGCCTGTGTTGTGCGTCTGAGACAATGGGTGCAGATGGCTGCCCCACTGCAGATGTGGCCATGGCTGTAACGGACGCCTGGGAGAGAGAACACCCTCCCATGGAGTCTATTTCAGCTGCTTGGCAAGGACTGATGCACACACACACACACACACACACACACACACACACACACACACACATACACACACACACACACAATTAGAGAAAGAAAGAGAGACAGATGCTCATGTTGAAAGCATATGAGGACTGGGTTTAGGTATCTGTCCATATTACATACTGGGATCGTGTACAGACTGTCAGCTCTCTGCTTTGACACAGACAGCATAGAAAGCTGACCCATTGTAGGATAGTGTAGAATGTGACCACAACTGGAGTAATCTGAAAAGCCTGAGGATTATACTAGTCGGCTCAGCTGTCACAGAGGAGGCAAAGTCACACGTTGTGTGTGTGTCAGTCAAACCATGTAGCAGCAGTCCCTATGGTTACCCTCAGTAGGGAGTGTATTGCATGTAATGTTCTGAACAGCAAAATGTGTATTCTTAAAGAGGAAGAACAACTGTGGATAATAGGCATGTGCAAGTCCGATTTCTGTCTCCTGACATTTTATCATCAGATAGTGACCAAAAATAAGATATTATATGATTCAAACATACTGGCTGTTCTGAAGACTGGTACATGAAGTGAAATGTTGTGTAAGAGTGTTCTAAGATATTGTATTTTACTTTAAAGAGTAAGATATTTCCTATATAACCTTATTATAACATATTGTCTACTCTATATGACTGTTATTACATACCATGGTGGTCATCTGCTCTGAGATGCTATCTATATCTGTCTGTAGTTAGGTATTATGCAGTTGTGCCTATTGTCTGAACACAATGGTTGTTCTTTACCCTGAGGTCACAGCAGACGGTCACTCCACCAGCCCAGAGTGTGTCACCTGTTCCTTAAAGCAAGCCCACACCACCGACTCCTCCTCTCATTAACACTCATTAACACAGGCAGTAGATGGAAGAGCTGCTGAACACTAAGCTTTGTACTTCACAGACACAGCAAGGGCTGTTGATCAGAAAACCTTAGGAAGTTTGGCACCTACTTTTTCTAGTGAGAATAAAACATGAATCATGTAGGCTACTGCTTAATGCAGGGTCATCTCAGTCCCAATTATAGTCAGTCGTCTAATGTCACCTCTTGAGATGAGATGGGGTGGTGGTATGATCCTGTCTCACACGCCTGACGGGACCACCTGTTGGACGGCAAATCCCCTCTTTGTCTCCACAGCCCCTCTCATTGGATTACCATGGCAACCTCTATTCACACACAACAGCAATAGACCTACTGAATATTACATTTTTACATTTACATATAGAGGGGCTTCACATAGATAGGCAATTATCAATCAGGAAGATGCATTGTTTTTAGGTGACACCACCGTTTTGTAGTAGACTACTGTGTAAATACAAGTTTTAAAAGAAAGCCTTATTCCCTTGAGTATTGAATGTGTGTGGGTGTTTCTAAGGAGAAGGCCTGCCAGGATTATTCTACCTGGAGCCTGTTGATATGAGGATGCAACGTTACAGAATGTTTAGCTCTTCATGTGTTATGTAGAACCTATATAATTGTCTGCCAAGTAGAATAGGCAGCTCTATTCATTACATTTCAATTTGCCTTGTATTAAATGCATTATGAACAAAATTGTATAATGTAGGCTCCATGAAATATGAAATGCGTTATGAAGGGCCTTTCTGACTACAAGTGCACCAGTATCCCAAAGTATTAAGCGAAAACAAGAAAACAGCATTGGTATTAATAAAAAATATAAAAAACGTAAGGCTACTATTATATTATAAGAATTTCGGTGACAACCTTGTTGATTAACAATATTGGTTTGTTAACGCATTTATTTTTTAATATAAATAAATGTGGGACACAAAAAAAGGCAGTGTAGAACACCATTTCCCAAACTGCATTGCTCCAATAACTTTCAAAAGATTGTTCCTTAAGTTTGCCCCCCAGAAATTGATTTTCCATTGAATGAAGTCGCACAAAAATGTGTGTCTTTTCCTACGAATTAAGTGGCACAAAAATGTGTGTATTTTCACACAAATTAAGCCACACAAAAACGCACGAAATCTGCTGAAATACTTTTTGTATATATTTGCACGAATTGAGCGTGAGATTGTGTTGATGTTTGCCATGGGCTCTCCAACCTTGTTCCTGCAGCTACCCAGTGCTTAATTTGGGAAACCAAGTGAAATCTGTTTGGGAACATCCATAGTAAACATATTTCACTAAACTGTTGACAGTCTGTCTGCGCGCTCGAGAAATGAATAAAGGAGAGAGAGGAGAAGATGGAAATGCATGGTGGTGAGTTATTATGTATAGCTACAGGTAATGTGTCACTTAATTAATTATGAAAATATAGAACATTCCCTATTACTATACTATTCAAAATCAAATACAAATCCACTAATTGTGGGCTAACTGTAAGCCGCCCTACACAATCAATGAACCAAAGGCCAAAGGCTATACGTTCTCTCCCAGACCCATGGATAGAAATTTTGGAGTGTAGCATAAGGTAATCAGTCCATCCAGTATTCATAATAATACAGTCCACACTCAAAGGCTAGACCAATTACGTACCAAAGACATCTTAAATCAGTTTTTTTTGTGGTTTTTCAGCCATGCATAATATGCGGTAGGCTACAGTATGTACTGTATAATGGCACAAGCATAATTTGTATTCCAGTTTCTTTTTCGGGCTTGGGCTCATAAGCCTATGCATATGCATAGGCGCTAATATGCGTATGAGGGTTTTGAATTAATCATCACCTTAGAAAGCGCTGTCCGTTTCGTTGAGTTAGGCTTTGAAACAACATCCACAACAACCATGTTTTACAGTTTCAACCTGTTGAACTTCTTTCTTCAAATTGATCATCACAGTGAGGTGAGTTTTAAAAGTATGATAGGCCTACTGTTTTGATGATAAGTGTTTGATGTGATTTTCGGTTAGATTTGCATTGATGTCAGAGTGGTTAGAGGGACAATAGAGCCCTGAGTACTAGGCCATTAGGACCTGATGGTAGTTAGCAAGTTGGATACTACCAAAGCATGTCCAGAGTGCATAAAAGGAGATTACCGTGACTCAATGGTCACGTGGAATTTTACTGCGGTCATGACTGCCGCAACAGCCCTATCTGAGACCAGGTTTCTTAATAGGATGTTGGGCCACCACCAGCCAGAACAGCTTCAATGCACCTTAGCATAGATTCTACAAGTGTTTGGAACTCTATTGGAGGGATGTGACGCTATCCAGAGTCTCCCATAAGTGTACAATTGGTTTGAGATCTGGTGACTGAGACAGCCATGGCATATGGCAGGGTTATTGACATACATGTAACTGCCAACATAATGGAAACACTTGAGTAAACAGTATATACAAAGTATATTGAAAGCAGGTGCTTCCACACAGGTGTGGTTCCTGAGTTAATTAAGCAATTAACATCGGTCCGGAGCTTGCTGGTTCTCTGTTCTCCCTGATAATTAATCAAATCAAATCAAATTTTATTTGTCACATACACGTGTTTAGCAGATGTTATAGCGGGTGTAGCGAAATGCTTATTGCACACACCTGGTGTCCCATGTCTAAATCCCTGATTAGAAGGAACAATAAAAAAGCAGTGAGTTTGAGAGCAATATGGTTTACATCAGTTTCATGCTCATCAAACCATTCAGTGACAACTCGTGCCTTGTGGATGGGGCCATAGCCATGACAGCCAAAATAATGGCCTGCCCAGCATTTTTATACATGACCCTAAGCGTGATGGGATGTTAATTGCTTAATTAACTCAGGAACCACACCTGTGTGGAAGCACCTGCTTTCAATATACTTTGTATATACTGTTTACTCAAGTGTTTCCATTATTTTGGCAGTTACATGCATGTCAATGTTTGTTGCATGATTTAATGACATAAGAATGCAAAAATATTTAAAAGAATGTAAGCAATACTGTATGTTTCAATCAACAATGGACCTTGGTAAAATAAAAAAATCATGTAAACACACTGTTTTTTATTACATCTGGTGAAATGTAATTTCATAAGGAATGTAATGAAATGCTATGAAGCTGCTATACAGAGCACAAGTTATATTGCAAAAGCTCAGTCAATACAAAAGCAATTCAAACAAACCATGAAGGACAATATAAGCATTAGTAATACAAGTTAAAAACTGGGACCGTGAACATGATAAACTGGGTATATTCAATTCAGTTAAGCTTGTAATACTTCAACAGAGCATAAGCTGACAAGCATCAAAACATACAAAATAAATGTTAAAGCAACCATTGCAAATTAATCAACCTTAATTTCAGTATTGCATTTAAAACTGCTTCACAAAACGTAGTATCTACAAAGGAAAACCATGTTTCTCCCTTTGGATCGAAGCAAATCATTCACATTGCTAACTGGGATAAATCCAATCCTCGATTTATACCATCTCTGGATGTTTGACTTTGTCTTTCGGTTTAACTCAGGTCCAGAGAACAGCTTTTTATAACATGTTGCTATTAATCTGCCATAAGGCCATACAAATGTAATTAAATGTTTTAGAAAAGTGAGACGAGTGAGCGAACCTTACTAAGCAATCTTAGTTCAACACCTAGCGACCTAATCAAGACATTTAAGCCTCTTGTGGAGGCAAAAAGAGGCATAGCTTTGCCATAACCTGAGAGGAAGTTGTGTATCTTTTTACTGGATAGCTTCAGTAAAAATAAAATTGGGGCATAATCTTGCATTTCTTTCTTACATTTTTTAGAAATGTGAAGATTAAACATTTTATTACATATGTATGGCCTAATCAACTTTCATATTATCTATAAAAATACTGTTTCAACAAATCTTACACATTCACAACACATTCATATTACATTTTATAGTCTGATATAGGCCTATTTCATATCCTTACATTTGTAATTTAGCTTTCAGTCGTGATATCCATGCCTAGATATCAGTGAATGTGGTAAAAACATATTCAGCAGTATTGAGCTCAGAGATTGGAGATTTTACAAATCTTCACACTTTCAGTTCATTTTGTCACAATAATGAATAAGCAGCAATCACTAAAATAATATCACTGGCATAAATAAAAGTTTCTGCAAAACATGCCTAGCTAAAATGGCCTTCTCTGTCTTGCATTGTTAAAAGTATGATGTATAATACAATTATTATTAAGGACACATGTACTGTAGTGTATATCAAAATGTTAACAGAATACTGAATAATCATAAACACTACTACAACCCATACTTCAGCCTACTTTTAATCAACTAAAACTAAGACAGCATTATTATGAATAGGTCCAGATAAAAACCAACCACACTTCTTAAGGCTTGACCTCATATACATTCCAATATGTGCAGGCACCAGGATACAACACTCGCTTGACACTGCCTCATTACATTTATATCTCACCTTCATCTATGGCCTACTGTTCAATGATGAGCTGACTGGAAAAGGGTATCTGACAACAAATACATAGCAGGCAATGTGGTATTTCAATGAGAGTTTTATCTTTTAAAGAATTAGGTTCTGTAGCTATGTAAATATACAGTATATTGTCATTTTTTTTGATTACAGGATGGCAAATTGGCTATAGTAGATACTAAGAGCAATGCAGCTGATATACTACATGTTCAACCCATCATGCCTACTATTCATGTGTGGAGCCCTCAGAGGAAGTGATTGAGTAATAAGGAGATTGTAATAACAGGCTTATTGTTACAGTTGCTCCTTCCCAAAAGCTGGAGATCTATTAAGATCTTAGTGACTCATATATTTCCTCTCTAAGGGACGCATCTCATCCTATGATCTCATCTCATACCAAACAAGCTGACCTGTCTTTCTCCAGCGTCTCTCCCTCTAGGCCTCAGCCTTCTCTTTCTTATTATTCATTTTAAGGAAGGAGGGAGTGCGAAACTTATTTTTCTTCTTGGGGGACTTGGTTTGGCTGTCAGGGGTCTTGTCTCCCCCTGATTTCTCTGAGGTTGTGTTGGATATTTCAACCGTTTCTGTGGTGCTGACGCTGAGCTTGGATACTTTGATGTTTAGTTTCTCTTCCAGTTCTTCCATATAATTTCCCCCATTGGGTATGATCTCTGTTAATGGGAAGAAACCAAGTCAGTGAGGAAAGGTGGGGGCATGAGGCAGTTATACACTTGTAGAAAAGTGTATAACTGCAGGAAGTATGAAGATGACCATTTTGTCTGTAGTACACCCTTTCCAAAATTCTAACCATTTGAGCAAATAACATTTTTAAGAGAAGGAATGCCCTGATATAGGAATGAATCTTCTCATGGAAACTTTATTGAATACATCGGTCTTGCTCCTTTCTTATGAAATACTACCTTTGGCTGGAGACACGAGTGGAGACAGGGACAGTGAGATGTTTGACTCGTCAAATGTTGTAATCTCATCTGCGTCTGTGACATCATCAGCATCTGCAAGTTCAAGGGTTATCAATAGGGCATGGAGTTTTCCTGACCATGTGACCTGGCCAGGTAAAACGTTGGTCCTTAGTCATCACAGATTCAGCAACACAAATACAGTAGCAATACTGTAGATAACAGAGGTGGGAATTAAATGAAATGTAGATGAAGTGAGTGTTCTACATCATGACAGTGTTGAAATTTGTATGGGATAGGGGAGAATCGTACCATCCAGGCCCAGCTGTCTTCGCTCCACAACGCTCTTATACTCTTCTAGCACCTTCTCTGTCAGCTCACTGAAGGGGTTAGGAGGAAGAGAGTGCATTTGCTCCTCATCCTCAATGATAAAGGCCTGAAGGGAGAGAGGTACAGAGCAATGGGGTTTACTTAACTGCTATACATACTGCTTAAGGACTAATGAACTCGACAAATGCCCAGTCAAACCGTAAACCAATGGGAAGGTCCATACCAGTGAGCTCCAACCCAACAACGTCACTGAACACAATATAAGGAAGGACCAACAAAGACCCACATTACAGTCTTCTGTTCATGACAATCATGGAACTCACCACCATATCATGTTAGAGTGTTGTGTGGTGTGAAGCTGATCCAAGTACTTACTGGTCCTGGTATGGTGTCCACAACGATGCCAGCTAGAAGATGGGACTTTGGTCCTGGAGTCATGTGATCAACAGTGTTCTGTTGCCTTATCTAAAATACAGATTTCCATTACAAATTATTTTAAGTTCTGTTTTCAAGACATTGGCATCACTCTCTGGGCAATTAGCACTATCTACTAGGAGAAGTACAAAGCTACAGTCTATTTTTGTTCTGAGAGGATTCAGTGAGAGCACATATGCATCCATAAAAATGTATACAGATGCTTTATGACTGATTGGACCACCCAGTTGTCATACCAGAGGGAGACAGGCTGCATCCTATAGGTCACTGCAATCAATACTAATTTGCTTGGGAGGGAGTTCAATAGCACCTCCTTTACAATGTGTGCAGCAAATGGTCAGGCTGTTGAACTCAATATGTATCCCAGCCCAATATGTCTGAACTCGTCAATAAGGAACATGATTAGAGAACATGATGTTCTAGCTCACCCGGTTCCTCTTCTCCAGAACATCAGTGGGATTTGTATTAAGGGGAACAAACTGGTTGGGGTCCTCGATCTTAATGGAGGTGCCAGTGCCATTGCTGGTCTCTTCAGATTTCATCCACTAAAAGGAAAGATACTGGTTTAATAAAAATATTTCAGATTGGAGCTCATTAATCCATTTGATAAGTGCATAGGGTAACCTAAAGCCTTCCGCATGCTTTGGTTCGCCGAACGATTGTGCTCGCATACTCCCTTAAAAGAACTTCGCTTGAAAAACAAGAAAAAAAGTGGCAATAGTACTGTTTGTCCATCTTGAGACACCTACGGTAGCCAGTGCCTTCAGAAAATATTCATACCCCTTGACTTATTTCACAGTTTGTTGTGTTACAGCCTGAATTCATAATTGATTAAATGTATTTTTTTCTCACGCATCTACACACAATACCCCATAATGACAAAGTGAAACCATGTTTTTTTTTTAATGTTTGCACATTTTTGGCAAATTTAATACAGAAATATCTAATTTACATACAGTACCAGCCAAAAGTTTGGACACACCTACTCATTCATGGGTTTTCCTTTATTTTTTACTATTTTCTACATTGTAGAATAATAGTGAAGACATCAAAACTATGAAATAACACATATGGAATCATGTAGTAACCAAAAAAGTGTTTAACAAATCAACATATATTTTAGATTCTTCTAAGTAGCCACCCTTTGCCTTGATGACAGCTTTGCACACTCTTGGCATTCTCTCAACCAGCTTCACCTGGAATGCTTTTCCAACAGCCTTGAAGGAGTTCCTACATATGCTGAGCACTTGTTGGCTGCTTTTCCTTCACTCTGAGGCCACTCCTATTTGCCACATCTTCAATTTAAGCCTACTAGAAAGTGTGTGCCCTTAGGCCTGGAGGGAAGCTAAAGTCATTCCGCTACCCAAGAATAGTAAAGCCCCCTTTACTGGCTCAAATAGCTGACCAATCAGCCTGTTACCAACCCTTTGTAAACTTCTTGAAAAAATGCTGTTTTACCAGATACAACGCTATTTCATTTACATTTACATTTACGTCATTTAGCAGACGCTCTTATCCAGAGCGACTTACAAATTGGTGCATTCACCCTATAGCCAGTGGGATAACAAACTGACAACAGACTTTCAGCACGCTTATAGGGAAGGACACTCAAGCACAGCACTTACACAAATGACTGATGATTGTCTGAGAGAAATTGATGATAAAACTGTGGGGGCTGTCTTGCTAGACCAGTGCAGTTTTTGACATTATCGATCATATTCTGCTGCTGGAAAAACGTATGTGTTATGGCTTTACACCCCCTGCTTTAATGTGGATAAAGAGTTACAGTGAGGGAAAAAAGTATTTGATCCCCTGCTGATGTTGTACGTTTGCCCACTGACAAAGACCTGATCAGTCTATAATTTTAAATGGTAGGTTTATTTGAACAGTGAGAGACAGAATAACAACAACAAAAAATCCGGAAAAACGCATGTAAAAAATGTTATAAATTGATTTGCATTTTAATGAGGGAAATAAGTATTTGACCCCTCTGCAAAACATGACTTAGTACTTGGTGGCAAAACCCTTGTTGTAAATCACAGAGGTCAGACGTTTCTTGTAGTTGGCCACCAGGTTTGCACACATCTCTGGAGGGATTTTGTTCCACTCCTCTTTGCAGATCTTCTCCAAGTCATTAAGGTTTCGAGCCTGACGTTTGGCAACTCGAACCTTCAGCTCCCTCCACATATTTTCTATGGGATTAAGGTCTGGAGACTGGCTAGGCCACTCCAGGAGTAACTTTCTCCTTGAGCCACTCCATTGTTGCCTTGGCCGTGTGTTTTGGGTCATTGTCATGCTGGAATACCCATCCACGACCCATTTTCAATGCCCTGGCTGAGAGAAGGAGGTTCTCACCCAAGATTTGACGGTACATGGCCCCGTCCATCGTCCCTTTGATGCGGTGAAGTTGTCCAGTCCCCTTAGCAGAAAAACACCCCCAAAGCATAATGTTTCCACCTCCATGTTTGACGGTGGGGATGGTGTTCTTGGGGTCATATGCAGCATTCCTCCTCCTCCAAACACGGCGAGTTGAGTTGATGCCAAAGAGCTCGATTTTGGTCTCATCTGACCACAACACTTTCACCCAGTTCTCCTCTGAATCATTCAGATGTTCATTGGCAAACTTCAGACGGGCCTGTATATGTGCTTTCTTGAGCAGGGGGACCTTGCGGGCACTGCAGGATTTCAGTCCTTCACGGCGTAGTGTGTTACCAATTGTTTTCTTGGTGACTATGGTCCCAGCTGCCTTGAGATCATTGAGAAGATCCTCCCGTGTAGTTCTGGGCTGATTCCTCACCGTTCTCATGATCATTGCAACTCCACGAGGTGAGATCTTGCATAGAGCCCCAGGCCGAGGGAGATTGACAGTTATTTTGTGTTTCTTCAATTTGCGAATAATCGCACCAACTGTAAGTCGCTCTGGATAAGAGCGTCTGCTAAATGACCAATTTATATTTATTATTTTATTTAACTGTTGTCACCTTCTCACCAAGCTGCTTGGCGATGGTCTTGTAGCCCATTCCAGCCTTGTGTAGTCTACAATCTTGTCCCTGACATCCTTGGAGAGCTCTTTGGTCTTGGCCATGGTGGAGAGTTTGGAATCTGATTGATTGATTACTTCTGTGGACAGGTGTATTTTATACAGGTAACAAACTGAGATTAGGAGCGCTCCCTTTAAGAGTGTGCTCCTAATCTCAGCTCGTTACCTGTATAAAAGACACCTGGGAGCCAGACATTTTTCTGATTGAGAGGGGGTCAAATACTTATTTCCCTCATTAAAATGCAAATCAATTTATAACATTTTTGACATGCGTTTTTCTGGATTGTTTTGTTGTTATTCTGTCTCTCACTGTTCAAATAAACCTACCATTAAAATTATAGACTGATCATTTCTTTGTCAGTGGGCAAATGTACAAAATCAGCAGGGGATCAAATACTTTTTTCCCTCACTGTACTTGTCTAACAGAACAGAGGGTGTTCTTTAATGGAAGCCTCTTAAACATAATCCAGGGAGAATCAGGAATTCCCCAGGGTAGCTGTTTAGGCCCCTTACTTTTTTCCATCTTTACTAACGACATGCCACTGGCTTTGAGTAATTGGGTTGAGGTTGGGTGCTTGTGGAGGCCTGGTAATCTGATGCAGTACTCCATCACTCTCCTTCTTGGTCAAATAGCCCTTATACAGCCTGGAGGTGTGTTGGGTCATTGTCCTGTTGAAAAACAAATGATAGTCCAACTAAGGGCAAACCAGATGGGATGGCGTATCGCTGCAGAATTAACTTTTAACAAGGCACACCTGTTAATTGAAATGCATTCCAGGGGACTACCTCATGAAGCTGGTTGAGAGAATGCCAAGAGTGTGCAAAGCTGTCATCAAGGTAAAGGGTGGCTACTTTGAAGAATCTCAAATATAAAATATATTTTGATTTGTATAACACTTTTGTGGTTACTACATGATTCCATCTATGCTATTTCATAGTTTTGATGTCTTCACTATTATTCTACAATGTAGAAAATAGTAAAAAATAAATAAAAACTCTGGAATTAGTAGGTGTGTCCAAACTTTTGACTGCTACTGTAAGTATTCACACCTCTGAGTCAATACTTTGTAGAAGCATCTTTGGCAGCGATTACAGCTGTGAGTCTTTCTGGGTAAGTCTCTAAGAGCGTTCCAAACCTGGATTGTGCAACATTTGCCCATTATTTGTTTCAAAATGCTTCAAGCTTTGTCAAATTGGTTGTTGATCATTGGTAGACAACCATTTTCAGGTCTTGCCATAGACTTAAGTAGATTTAAGTCAAAACTGTAACTCTGCCATTTAGGAACATTCAATGTCTTCTTGGTAAGCAACTCCAGTGTAGATTTGGCCTTATGTTTTAAGTTATTGTCCTGCTGAAAGGTCAATTCATCTCCCAGTGTCTGGTGGAAAGCAGACTGAACCAGGTTTTCCTCTTGGATTTTGCCTGTGCTTAGCTCCATTCTGTTTATTATTTAACCTGAAAAACTCCCCAGTCCTTAACAATTACAAGCATACCCATAACATGATGCAGCCACCACTATGCTTGAAAATATGGAGACTGGTACTCAGTAATGTCTTGTTTTGGATTTGCCCCAAACATAACACTTTGTATTCAGGACAAAAATATAATTGCTTTGTCACATTTTTTGTCGTATTACTTTATTGCCTTGTTGCAAACAGAATGCATGTTTGGAATATTTTTATTCTGTACAGGCTTCCTTCTTTTCACTCTGTCAATTAGGTTAGTATTGTGGAGTAACTACAATGTTGTTGATCCATCCTCAGTTCTCTTATCACAGCCATTAAATTATTTTACTCACGTCACCCCGCTCCTCCGCACACTCCACTGGCTTCCAGTTGAAGCCCGCATCTGCTACAAGACCATGGTGCTTGCCTACGGAGCTGTGAGGGGAACGGCACCTCCGTACCTTCAGGCTCTGAGCCATAAGCACCTCCGTACCTTCAGGTACCTTCAGGCTCTGAGCCATAAGACTCCTGAACAGCTAATCATGGCTACCCGGACTATTTGCACTGCCCCCCCACCCCTTCCTTTTTACGCTGCTGCTACTCTGTTAATTATTTATGCATAGTCACTTTAACTCTATCCACATACATATTACCTCAACTACCTCAACTAGCCGGTGCCCCCGCACATTGACTCTGCAACGGTACCCCCCTGTATATATAGCCTCCCTACTGTCACTTTATTTTACTTCTGCTCTTTTTTTTCTCAACACTTTTTTTTGTTGTTGTTTTATTCTTACTTTTTTTGTTTTAAAAATAAATGCACTGTTGGTTAAGGGCTGTAAGTAAGCATTTCACTGTAATGTCTGCACCTGTTGTATTCGGCGCATGTGACCAATAAAATTTGATTTGATTTGATTTGATCAGTCCCTACACCCAAACGAGAGCATTGCGTTCATCCACCTCTGGCCTGCTGGCCCCCCTACCTCTGCGGAAGCACAGTTCCCGCTCAGCCCAGTCAAAACTGTTCGCTGCTCTGGCACCCCAATGGTGGAACAAGCTCCCTCACGACGCCAGGACAGCGGAGTCACTCACCACCTTCCGGAGACACTTGAAACCCCACCTCTTTAAGGAATACCTGGGATAGGATAAAAGTAATCCTTCTACCCTCCCCCCAACCCCCCCCCCCCCCCCCCCCCCCCCAAAAAAAAAAAGGTGATATATTGTAAAGTGGTTGTCCCACTGGCTATCATAAGGTGAATGCACCAATTTGTAAGTCGCTCTGGATAAGAGCGTCTGCTAAATGACGAAAATGTAAATGTTAACTGTTTTAAAGTCATGGTGAAATCCCTGAGCGGTTTCCTTCCTCTCAGGCCACTGAGTTAGGAAGGATGCCTGTATCTTTGTAGTGACTGGGTGTATTGATACACCATCCAAAGTGTAATTAATAACTTCATGCTCAAATGGATATTCAATGTATGCTTTTTTTTTACCCATCTACCAATAAGTGCTATTTTTTTGCGAGGCATTGGAAAACCTCCCTGGTCTTGTGGTTGAATCTGTGTTTGAAATTCACTGCTCGACTGAGGGACCTTACAAATATTTGTATGTCTGGGGTACAGAGATGAGGTAGTCATTCAAAAATCATGTTAAACACTATTATTGCACAAAGAGTGAGTCCATGCAACTTATTATGCAACTTGTTTTTACTCCTGAACTTATTTATGCTTGCCATAACAAAGTGGTTGAATAATTATTGACTCAAGACATTTCAGCTTTTCATTTTTTATGAATTTGTAAACATTTCTCAAAACATAATTCCACTTTGACATTTATGGGGTATTGTGTGTAGGCCAGTGACCAAAAATCTTAATTAAATCAATTTTAAATTCAACCTGTAACACAACAATATGTAGAAAAGGTCAAGGGGTGTGAATACTTTCTGAAGGCACTGTATACTTCCTAAAAATAATCAGAATGAATCTAAGATAACTCAAGAAATCTGTCATTAATTTTGCCGTTTTTGCAGAGGAGGTAGTAGTCACGAAATCTAACTTAGATGTTTTGTGCAGTATTTCTCAAGTGAAAAAATTAGTAGGAAAACGATTAATCTCTCGTTGAATGGCAACAAACACTTAATTGAAGAATGCCTACTGTTCAAATATAATCAAATGTAATTTGTCACATGCGCCGAATACAACCTTACCGTGAAATGCTTATGAGCCCTTACCCAACAATGCAGACTTTTAAAAAAGTAAGTAAGAAAAATGTGCTAAATAAACTAAAAGAAAAATAGTAACACAATAACAATAACAATAACGATGATATAAGGGGATACAAGGGTTACCGGTACCGAGTCAATGTGCAGGGGTACAGGGTAGTCGAGGTAATGGAGGTAATATGTACATGTAGGTAGGGGTAAAGTGACAATGCATAGATAATAAACAAAGAGTAACAGCAGCTTGACCAATTGTTGACCAATCACTAACGAAGGCGTGAAGACCAAAACATCACAAAACGTCTTCATAATATATGCAAAAACTGTTTCGGATGGGAAGCATGCGGACACTTTTAGAAGATTTTATGTAGAGAAATATGTTTCATACATATAGTTATACAAGATTCCACAAGAGGGCAGACTAACCTACAATATGTGATATTTCAGCTCCGCTATAGGAAGACATATTGTCAGGTGGAATTAATAGAGGTATAATACTGCATGTACACAATGTAGTCTACCGGTACACAAGGTAGATTGAAGAAGACTGGTTTATAGCAGCTCACCATGGTCTTGGTTCTGGGGCTGCACTCTCTGCTGGGTGAGCGTTCAGGCACATTGACCTTCAGGTAGCTGTTGGGAGAGTTGAGCCAGCGCGTCCTCTCCCTCTGCTGTTTCTGCACCAGGAAGTTAAAGGGGTTTCTCTGACCCAGATCACTGTCCTGCAACGGGACAGTGTAGACCGTAGCAGGAATCTCCACATCGTTTTTGGTCCGAATCTTTTCCCTTACTATGGGGTGGTGGTACGCGTAGCCTGTACGGTAACCCTAGCAACACAGATAGACAATGTTTCAGTTCACCTGTCAAAATGGATTCCATGAAAACTCAGCCACCTGTTATCCATCAATTGTAAAATCTCTATTAGTGTTGAGAATGTTTATTAGATTTTCAAGGAAAAGGTTTGTGCAACTTAATTATGCTCAGTACCACCACAAGGTGTTCTCTGTTAAGTGAATGGCCCTCGACAGCATATAAAAACATCTCCCAAGGACACGTTTTCAAACATTGGTCCTGCAGTTTCCCATCACAAAGTTTGTAAGATTATTTTCATCTTTAACAATGTGGAACATTTCATATCAGTGACTAAAGCCTGTGGTTTAAGGGGATCCTAGACCACCCAATGTTCAGCCTCTCCATTGTTGGAACACTTTGTACAGTACATATAAACAACGCTTTCAGAAGTGCCTGGTTTCAAAGGAAATAGATCACGCCTGGCAACACAGTGCAGTTGGCAGGGGAACTGTTGTTAGGAACACATCAAAGAAAAGGGGGGACCGCAAACCCCAAACCCAACCATGTTGAGCGGAACCCAGGGAGCGTGTTGAGTTTTCCAGTCAATTGACTCTGAAGGATTGTGTGGTCTGTGCTATTAACTACACATAGCATGGCCTGCCATCTGTAATCCATGATGGGGTGTCACGCCCTGGCTCTAGGGACTCTTTTATGTTGAGCCAGGGTGTGTAGTGTCTATGTTTTGTGTTCTATGTTCACGATCTAGTTTATGTGTTTCTATGTTGGCCGGGGTGGTTCTCAATCAGAGGCAACGTGAATCAGCTGTTGCTTGTTGTCTCTGATTGGGAACCATACTTAGGCAGCCTATTGTGCACTTGTCTTTTGTGGGATCTTGTTCCGTGTTGGTTTGTATTGTATAACCGAGGACTTCACGTATCGTTTTGTTGTTTTGTGTATATGAAAGTACTAAAATAAAAGTATGTACTCGTATCACGCTGCGCCTTGGTCCACTCCTTTCGACGATCGTGACAGAAGATCCCACCAATACTGGACCAAGCAGCATGTCCAGGAGCACACGCAGGAGGTAACGTTAGTGGATGTCCTCCTCGGTTGGGGGCAGATTACGGAGGAGGCCGTCCGTTACCGGAGGGCGAGGAAAGGGGAGACCCAGGCAGGAGAGGAGAAGCGGCGCCAACCGGGTCGTCATCGGACAGGCGAGAGGCACCCCCAATAAAAAAAATTGGGGGGGGCACATGGCATGGACGACGGGGCTGCTGGAGGCAGATAAAGGGCGAGTTTGTGGACATGGAGAGAAGGCCACCAGGTTACGGGGGCCATTGGTCATTAGAGGGAAGGAAAGTGTAGAGGCACGGCGAGAGGTACTGAAGTGTGTTACCAGTCTGGTCCGGCCCGTTCCTGATCCCCGTATAAGGCCAGTGGTGTGTGTTCCCAGTGCGGTCCGGCCTGTTCCTGTCCCTCGCACCAAGCCTGTGATGCACGTCGCCAGCCCGGCCCGGCCTGTTCCTGCCCCTCGCACCAAGCCAATGGTGTGCGTCGTCAGCCCGGTCCGGCCTGTTCCTGCTCCCCGCACCAAGCCTATGGTGCGCGTCGCCAGCCCGGCCCGGCCTGTTCCTGCTCCCCGCACCAAGCCAGTGGTGCGCTTCGTCAGCCCGGTCCGGCCCATTCCTGCTCCCCGCACCAAGCCAATGGTGCGCGTCGTCAGCCCGGTCCGGCCCGTCCCTGCTCCCCGCACCAAGCCAATGGTGCGCGTCGTCAGCCCGGCCCGGCCTGTTCCTGATCCCCGTATAAGGCCAGTGGTGTGTGTGTTCCCAGTGCGGTCCGGCCCATTCCTGCTCCCCGCACCAAGCCAATGGTGCGCGTCGTCAGCCCGGTCCGGCCTGTTCCTGCTCCCCGCACCAAGCCAATGGTGCGCGTCGTCAGCCCGGTCCGGCCTGTTCCTGCTCCCCGCACCAAGCCTATGGTGCGCGTCGCCAGCCCGGCCCGGCCTGTTCCTGCTCCCCGCACCAAGCCAGTGGTGCGCTTCGTCAGCCCGGTCCGGCCCATTCCTGCTCCCCGCACCAAGCCAGTGGTGCGCTTCGTCAGCCCGGTCCGGCCCATTCCTGCTCCCCGCACCAAGCCAATGGTGCGCGTCGTCAGCCCGGTCCGGCCCGTCCCTGCTCCCCGCACCAAGCCAATGGTGCGCGTCGTCAGCCCGGCCCGGCCTGTTCCTGATCCCCGTATAAGGCCAGTGGTGTGTGTTCCCTGTGCGGTCCGGCCCATTCCTGCTCCCCGCACCAAGCCAATGGTGCGCGTCGTCAGCCCGGTCCGGCCTGTTCCTGCTCCCCGCACCAAGCCAGTGGTGCGCTTCGTCAGCCCGGTCCGGCCTGTCCCTGCTCCCCGCACCAAGCCAATGGTGCGCGTCGTCAGCCCGGTCCGGCCTGTTCCTGCTCCCCGCACCAAGCCTATGGTGCGCGTCGCCAGCCCGGCCCGGCCTGTTCCTGCTCCCCGCACCAAGCCAGTGGTGCGCTTCGTCAGCCCGGTTCGGCCCATTCCTGCTCCCCGCACCAAGCCAATGGTGCGCGTCGTCAGCCCGGTCCGGCCCGTCCCTGCTCCCCATACCAAGCCAATGGTGCGCGTCGTCAGCCCGGTCCGGCCCGTTCCTGCTCTCCGCACCAAGCCTGTGGTGCGCGTCGTCAGTCCGGCACAGCCCGTGCCAGTTTCACCGGTGCCTGGTCAGGTACCGGTCAGCTGCTCCACACCGGAGCCTAAGCAATCCGCTCCACCGATGTCCAGTCCAGCTCCAGCCAGCGGGGCCAGACCAGACCAGGGGCGCTACGGGGGGCTTGTTAGAGGGTGGTGGTCACGCCCGGAGCCGGATCCGCCTCCGAGGAGGAATGCCCACCCGGCCCCTCCCCTGTTGGGTTTATGTTGGCGCGGTCGCCGTCCGCGCCTTTGGGGGGGGGGGGGGGTACTGTCACGCCCTGGCTCTAGGGACTCTTTTATGTTGAGCCAGGGTGTGTAGTGTCTATGTTTTGTGTTCTATGTTCACGATCTAGTTTATGTGTTTCTATGTTGGCCGGGGTGGTTCTCAATCAGAGGCAACGTGAATCAGCTGTTGCTTGTTGTCTCTGATTGGGAACCATACTTAGGCAGCCTATTGTGCACTTGTCTTTTGTGGGATCTTGTTCCGTGTTGGTTTGTATTGTATAACCGAGGACTTCACGTATCGTTTTGTTGTTTTGTGTATTTGAAAGTACTAAAATAAAAGTATGTACTCGTATCACGCTGCGCCTTGGTCCACTCCTTTCGACGATCGTGACATGGGGGAGGCAGGCTATGATCATACAGAGCTGTACAAGCTAACACAGCTGTAGCCTACACCAGCCCCAGTCCCCAGCAAGTGGCATGTCATTAGTAGATTCAATAGAGAGATCAGGCTTGCTCATCGTCTGCTGTGCCAGAGAATGTGTCTGGCCCTAGTCATTAGCAGTGTTGTTGAGATAGTATTGTTTACATGGGAAGCCCTTTGAACATCACACAATTATCTACAGTGGATGCTAAACACAGACCCATCGCTAACAAACAGCCTGATAGCTACTGGCTAAGATTAGACGCTCATCTTTGATAAACACGCAACGGTCTTTAATAAGGCACATTGGGACAATTATTGTGCGTTAGTTCAAGGAGCTACAGCTGGCATTCATGATCTCCAATGTTTGATTCATGAGTTAAAAATACTGCTTTCCAGTTGGGATTATGATGTCAATGTGTTCACACACATCCTCAGGATGTGCATGGGAGAGGAAATGCAAAGCATTGTGGGAAAGGTCAGATATAATGGTCAGGTCAGTTACCAGGTTGTCCAGCATCCTCATGAGCGACTCGAACTCTGCCTCGCCCACTTTCCACTTGACTTCGCTGTCCACGGTGACCCCAGCAGCAGCCACTCCGTTGGTCAGGGGCTTGAGCCTCTCCCTGTCCAGGAGCACCAGGTTTTCTACTCCTGCAGAGCACCGCAGCGCATTGACCTGAATTACCACATCAAAAACACATATCATAGTCAAGGCCAGGAGTTTTTCCTGACCATATGAATTGACCATGTTAGGCGAATAATGGGTAAAGTCTAAAACTAGCTATTATAGTGAAAATATTTGGTAAAATATGTGTCACGAGGCGTCACTAGAGAGCGTAGTAAAGCAAACACAGAGGAATCCCAGACTGACCACACATGGAATGACCTGCTCAATGGAAAAACCAACACTATCCCAGACACATATGATGATAAGAGAACACATTATCTGTCTGCTCCACATAGAGCTATGAGCTACATGGGGACTCAACCAAGTCCTAGAACACTAAACTCCACCCGGTGCTGTTTGAGAACAGTGGTTTCAATCACACATAGAGTATTTGATTTAGCTTTGTTTTAACAGATGTTTGACTTCTCACTCGTTTTTCTCTCACGTAGGGAATGTAACACCATATCATTCAATTGGAAAACAACCAACACCAAGTTTGATTTATTTCCAAAAACCTGGGACCATTTTTCTTCACATTTAATACATGCGGATATGTTTAGACCACACACGTTTACTGAGGCAAAGTAAACACACATAAATCTTGGATTGCAGCACGCCAACATCCTATTTCCAAGGTAAGAAAAAATAAATAGCAGTGAACTATTCCATTACCTATACAATAATGTGGTAGAAAAGGTGTGGCTGATGAATTCAAGTGTTACCTGGATTTCACAAGCTTGCTGTGAGTGGTAAATGTAGTGGAAAGCTTCCTCTATAGTCTCCCCCAGAGCAACCAGGCCATGGTTCCTCAGAACAAGCACCTGCAAAATGATTAAGCGCGGGATAACAACAAGCTAAAAAGGTAAAATGAATGCATAAGTAAATACAAAGACATGAAAGGTAAAACAGTTTAGCAAGTGGATACAACTTCCTGTAACGCGTGACATTACATTTTAAATGCTCTTATACTTGTGTAGAAAGAGCAATTACTACAGTAACAGAACAGTTTGATTAAATGGCAGGCAGTCTAATCTCATCTCGATGGTGATGCAATTCTGTGTTCTGTTTCTATGTATGGCACACACTACAGTGAGCCTGTTGTTGTTAAGGAAACCCATCATTCTGCGTTACCTTGGCAGTGGGCCCTAGGGCTTTCTGGAACTCCACCTTCTCTTCTTGATCATCCAGACAGCCTTGGTAACCGAAGTAGGCAACATCGCCCAGAACCAGAGCCTCTTGGGAAATGGGCAGTATGCCACATTTCATCGAGGACACCTGTGAGTTCAGGATAAAAGCAACCGTGTCTATGCTGTGTCAACAACAACAACTAATGAAAGGCACCTTTTATGATATTTTCGGCTAGTAAAACATCAGACATATAGCAACTATAAACTTTAAGAGACGACCTCAAAGGCAACATCACAATTACATTAGGTGCACTTACTGTACATACAATAATGAAACAAAGATGAGGTAAATACACCTTGCTCTTAATTCAGTCATTAAGTGACATGGCCACTCATTGAGCTTTAGTTTAAAGTGTACTCACAGCAGCAGTGGCAGAGGTGTGGATGTGTATGATACACCTGACGTCAGGGCGCATGGAATAGACAGCAGCGTGAGGGCTGAAGCCAAAGTGGTCCACCTCCAGGTAGGTGGATCCCTGGTTGACAACATCACCAATCATGTTCACTTTCACCTGGAAACAGACCAGGACACAATATCTCTAGGTTTACCATGGCAGCAAGATACTGAGTCGGATACTAAGTCACACTAATGTATTAGGCATTATTCCAACTCACTGTGCTAGAACATTGCTGCACTATTAATATAGATTCATTATTCCAGTCTGTTTTTCTCATTTTAATTATTAGTTTAACTGTATTCAGTTGTTATTATGATTATATTGCAAGAGGATTACAAGTAATCTAGTTATCCTTCTTTTGGGACTTCCATCAATACTGTAACAAGGCATCTGAATGCTGACAACAAGCTAGAAAACATCCATTCAACACAATTGTCATTTCTCCTTGACCCCTTGCTGAACTAGAGTGAGGCATGTCTCTCAGCACAGCCAGGGGCTGTTTGAGTGGCTGGCTTTTGATTATGTGGCCCTGTCAATAGTCTGAACACATATTCTGCACAATTCACACATCTGAATAGGGTTGTTTTGTACTGTTAATGATTGTGTTGTTCACCCACTGGAGATAAGCACAAACTTTTATTTTCTATGGTAGTTATAAGCAATGTGTAACTGGAATATGAAAACGCATGAACCATTATACCTACCAGATTGCCAGCCGTCACTTCAGTGAAAGAGAGTCCTTGTGGGATGATAAGAACATGGTCTTGTTCTTTGCTAACCCGGACCTGTATAAGAAAAAGGGAAACGGATATAACAAGCAAATGTCAAAAGGCATGCATTGCCAAGAGCAACATTGTACCAGCTATATAAATTGCTACTGGATGTAGACTACTATCAAGATAACAATGTCTAGACTATTTATTTATACTTCAACAATGCTTGCCAATGCGTATTGGGTGACTGAGAACTCCATGTGTTATTTTGACATGCCTACAGTAATCAAAATTCATACTGTGCTTATAATGCTACATTAAGTTGGTATTACAGTACGGTCTAATACGTATTTTTTTTTTAATGAGGGTTCTACTCACAGTAATGTATGAGCTGGTGAAATGGGCCCAGCTGAAAAGGTCCACCAGTCTGTAGACACTGGCTAGCTTACAGCGACACTGTTTCTCCCCTTTGGTAAAGGATGGAGACTCTACCCCACAGAGGTCATTGACTGGGGCGACCATCCCTAGGCCTGGAGAGAAAACACATGCATTGCATTCATGGTGAACTGATGTGACAGAGAGCACAGTCACTAACACCCTACAGCCTTCATGACAAGCACCACAAATTTCAAATTTCTACTTTGTTACAACTAAACAAGCTAAACCATTCATAATACTTCAGAGATATAACATTTATGAATGTTCATGAAACAAGAGCTTTCTTTATGTTCAAGTTGCATTATGACATGGTCAATGGAATTTGCTTCCTCTTTCATTTGAGCTTACAACAAGCAACATCTAAGCCTACTCGTTCAACTTTCAAGTTTCTCTAACAACATTTAGCTCAAACGATTACATTAAATCACTAAATCTCAGCATCCCTTGCTTAACTTTTGGATCATAAAAGCGTCTGTTCTCAGAACTTCTCATAAGTGCTCTGAGTATTATATATTTTTTGACTTTATACTGTATAAGGGCATTGGACAAAACTGAACACTAATCTTTTACAACCACTTTAACAGTGACTGTTGATTTATAAAGAGACAGTTCTGCCTCCATCACCTCAAAGCCATAAGAGACGACGGTTATGTTTACATTTTCTAACAGTTTCAGTAAATATTCCTAGTGTTTTTAAAATACTATACTATGGTATAAATACTATAGTATTCACTGTAGTGTTTTTGCGGACTAAAGTCAGCAAAAACACTACAGGCAATACTGTAGTATTTACTTTAGTATACCATAGTATTTACAGTTAAAGATGTACTATGGCGAAATGGCTCAGCCATTTCCTGGTTGCTAAAATTCTAATAGTTCGCCTAGTTTCAGTTTATGTGACAAAACAAGCAAGTATAGTATAGAGAATCATTGTACCATCTAAACCCCTGTGAAATATATGTTCCATAACCCAAAATATTGTATTTTCAGCTGGTATACAAAACTGAAAGTAAATTAGGCAAGAAATGAAAATTGAGACCGGGAAGCATAGATATAGCGCACATAGAACAGATCTACCACTTCTTAGACTTGCTTTCAATGAGAACAACAGATCTATAACTACATTTCTATGTGAATTTGGTTAGGTTGCTCAAAAAGTTGCATATTGCAGCTTTAACAATAGTATACAGTGCATTTGGAAAGTATTCAGACCGCTTGAATTTTTTCACATTTTGTTACATTACAGCCTTATTCTATAATAGATTAAATTGTTTTTTTCCCCTCATCCATCTATCACACAATAACCCATAATGTCAAAAAAACAGGTCTTTACTTTTTTTGCAAATGTATAAAAAATTAAAAACTGAAATATTACATTTACATACGTATTCAGACCCTTTACTCAGTACTTTGTTGAAGCACCTTTGGCAGCGATTACAGCCTTGAGTCTTCTTGGGTATGAGGCTACAAGCTTGGCACACCTATATTTGGGGAGTTTCTCCCATTCTTCTCTGCAGATCCTCTCAACCTCTGTCAGGTTGGATGGGGAGTGTGGCTGCACAGCTATTGGTCTCTCCAGAGATGTTCGATCGGGTTCAAGTCCGGGCTCTGGCTGGGCCACTCAACGACATTGAGAGACTTGTCCCGAAGCCACTCCTGCGTTGTCTTGGCTGTGTGCTTAGGGTCGTTGTCCTGTTGGAAGGTGAACCTTCGCCCCAGTCTGTGGTCCTGAGCACTCTGGAGCAGGTTTTCATCAAGGAACTCTCTGTACTTTGCTCCGTTCATCTTTCCCTCTTCCCTCAAGCCTGACTAGTCTCGCAGTTCCTGCCGCTGAAAAACATCCCCACAGTATGATGCTGCCACCACCATGCTTCACCGTAGGGATGGTGCCAGGTTTCCTCCAGACGTGACGCTTGGCATTCAGGCCAAAGAGTTCAATCTTGGTTTCATCAGACCTGAGAATCTTGTTTCTCATGGTCTGAGAGTCCCTTAGGTGCCTTTTGGCAAACACCAAGCGGGCTGTCATGTGCCTTTTACTGAGGAGTAGCTTCTGTCTGGCCACTCTACGATAAAGGCCTGATTGATGGAGTGCTGCAGAGATGGTTGTTCTTCTGGAAGGTTCTCCCATCTCCACAGAGGATCTCTGAAGCTCTGTCAGAGTGTCCATCGGGTTCTTGGTCACCTCCCTGACCAAGGCCCTTCTCCCCCGATTGCTCAGTTTGGGCAGGCGGTCAGCTCTAGGAAGAGTCTTGGTGATTCCAATCTTCTTTCATTTAAGATATATATTTTTTATTACCTTTATTTAACTAGGCAAGTCAGTTAAGAACAAATTCTTATTTACAATGACGGCCTACACCGGCCAAACCCGGACGACGCTGGGCCAATTGTGCGACTCCCAATCACGGCCGGTTGCGATACAGCCTGGAATCGAACCAGGGGGTCTGTAGTGACGCCTCAAGCACTGAGATGCAGTGCCTTAGACCGCTGCGCCACTCGGTAGCATTTCAGAGAGTGCATGATGGCGGCCACTGTGTTCTTGGGGACCTTCAATGCTGCAGAACATTTTTGGTACCCTTCCCCAGATCTGTTCCTCGACACAATCCTGTCTCGGAGTTCTACGGACAATTCCTTCGACCTCATGGCTTGGTTTTCGCTCTGACATGCACTGTCAACTGTGGGACCTTATATAGACAGGTGTGTGCCTTTCCAAATCATGTCCAATCAATTGAATTTACCACAGGTGGACTCCAATTAAGTTGTAGAAACATCTCAAGGATGATCAATGGAAACAGGATTCACCTGAGCTCAATTTCGAGTCTCATAGCAAAGTGTCTGAATACTTATGTAAATAAGGTATTTCTGTTTTTGATTGTTTATACATGTGCAAACATTTCTACACACCTGTTTTCACTTTGTCATTATGGGGTATTGTGTAGATTGATGAGGAAAACATTTAATTTAATCCATTTTAGAATAAGGCTGTAATGTAACAAAATGTGGAAAAAGGGAAGGGGTCTGAATACTTTCAGAATGCACTGTAATTACTGTAGTAAAATACTGTAGTATATACTATAGTAATTAAGTGTCTTTGCGGATTTTAGCATACTGTAGTATTTACTGTAGTGTTTTTGCAGAAATTACTGTAGTATTTACTATAGTGTTTTTGTTTTATTCTCTTTGATATGGAAGTGGAGGCTTGGCCTCCCAAGTGGCACAACCGTCTAAGGCACTGCATCGCAGTGCTAGAGGCGTCACTAAAGACATGGGTTTGATCCCGGGCTGTATCACATCCGGCTGTGATCCGGGTTAAGCGGGCCGGTGTTAAGAAGCGCGGTTTGGCGGGTCACCTTTGCCTCCTTAGCCCGTTGGGGAGTTGCAGCGATGAGACAAGATCGAAATTGGGGAGAAAAAGGGGGTAAAATACAAAAAAATTTGACAAAAGAAGTGGATGCTTTCTCCTGGAAATCTACTGGATAAATACTAAAAGAACACATTTTCCATCCAATTAAATACTGTAGTACAGTGTTTTTGCGGACTGTAGTGTTTTTGCGGACATTACTGTAGCATTTAGCCGGTGGTAACTGGACACTAGCTGGAATGCGGTTTTAATCAATCAGCATCCAAGATTAGACCCACCCGTTGTATAATATTCTACAGTATACTACAGAATTCTATAGTAAGTACTGAGGTATTCTATAGTAAACTGTAGTATTTTTTTATGTGGACGACCTCCATTGAAAGACGGAGGGCAACATAATTGACGCTCCAGACAGCTGTAATTCATTATAAAGTCCAGAACATGTGGCCGACTTATTAGAAACATTTGGAATGTGGAATGTTGTCAACAAGTACTTGAGTAGAATTTTTCTGCATAAGGGCTCTCAATGTCACAAGTTGTTGTGAATTCCGTGTCCCAAAACATTGACAATGCAGAGAATCAGGATGTATCACTGAAAGACTATGCAGACCCACATGCACTCTCTCACATGTATGCACACACACTGTTACTTACTGAGAGGAGATGTGAAAGAGCCTGTCCCTCCCATAGAACTGGCCATGATCAGATCAGCTATCTGCCTAAGAGCCAGCAGCCCTGTTGGATTATTGCCCTTCGTCATCTGATCCTGGATCAGCCCTTCCAGCTCATCCTTAAACACCTGGAAACCAAACAGTGACATGTTAAAATGACACCCCCTGGAATCCATGACTGAGTGAAAATAGTCCCAATACCACTGGCTTACATCTATCAATCTTTACCAGTCCAGGATAGTGGTCACTGGTCACAAAGAATGAGACGAGGAAAGGAAGTGGGGCGGAAGGTAGCCTAGCGGTTAGAAAGGTGAGCCAGCAGCCGGAGGGTTGCCAGTTCGAATCCCGGGTCTGCCGGGAAGTGGGCTGGCAACTGGAGGGTTGCTGGTATCAAATCCTAGATGCCATTGAGCAGGACACTTAATGTCCCACAATGACAGCTTCCCGGGCGCCCAGTGTGGCAGCCCCTGCACCTCTCCAAAACCTGTCCTTCGGAAGGGTTGGGTTAAAAGCGGAAGTCTTGTGTACAATTGACCAATAAAGTTATCTTAATCTTACAACTCCTGGGATGGTCTACTGTATGTGTAGTTATGCAATTATTCTCACCATTACCCTGTTCCAATTCCCTGTCTACTCAGCCGTTCACATTAGGACAATGTACTTCCAGTGTACTCTCAGACCTAAAGAAGCCCTCCTTAAATAAATCACATTAGAGGCTTCTAAAACCCTCTTTGTGCCCATGTCACTAGAGGTGACTGGGAAGTAGCCCTCCCATTCAGCCAGCCTATTAATTTATGCCCACAGTGTCGTTGTGAATCTTGGGTATCCTTCCTAAAAAGACGATTCTCCTGCAAGCCTCTTTGGTGGAACACCAACATTCCGCCCCATCTCAGTGCAGTTCCCATGGTGATGAGCTACGTTCCACTTGTTGGGGTTTGTTATGCAATCACAGACGAGCGTGGGCTCATCTTATTTCCATGCACTTTACGGGCATGTGTTTGTTGCACCTCCTAGCAGCATCTCTAACCACATTTTACTGCTCGATTATCTATGCCTCCGATTCACAATGGCATATATGCATTTATCATTGGTGCATGTAGGCAGCATTTACTGCTTATACTACAAAAATATAAGCATAAATACAGCGGATGACAATCATTGTTCTGTTCATGCCTATATTGCTCTGTCTCTCAAGAATTCTATTTGACATAAATGTTGCATGAATAATGCTAAGCTGTGAACTTGATGACGACATTTGGCAAGCAAAGTATAATAAAGCTAAAATCTATTTGGACTGGTTCATATTTAAAACCACAGCAGCGGAGCTTGGCTGTTTCCTCTGACAGTAGCACATCGTACTGCATTGCAACAAAGATTTACACTGTACAAACGCCTTACTACTTACTATGACTGAGTTGTCTAACTTGTCTTACCTAGCTACCTTAAGATGATTGCACTAACTGTAAGTCGTTCTGGGTAAGAACGACTCAAATGTAAAAGTAATAGTCTCTTTATCTGCAGATCAGTTCAAATTTAGCCGTCAGAATGAAAACTGAAGACATCAATGATGTAGAGTCTCTACTAGAGCCAACAACATAGGCCTGGATCTCGAAGAGCAAAACTTTTCAGGTCATTTGATGGTCTGCAGCCAGATAATGAAAGTGGCTGTACTGTGTACACACATCAACATAGACATAGAGAACAAGAGACATACTGGACTCTGTAGGATCTGAGTGACTCTCTTCTTCTGCTCCATCATGTTGAAGTCCTGCCGTATTTCAGGTGACATGTTCCTGCTGCGGAGGTACTCATGGTCACTCTCGTCCAACCGGTCAAAATACTTCTCCTTGGAGTCTGTGCTGGATAGGGACAGGGCCATGGACCCAACCGCATGTCTGATCTCCACCAAACTCATACTGTCCAAGTCTTCACGACAGCCTCACTCTCTCTTGATCCTCACCAGCAACACTCCAGGACAGCTGTCTCTGGGAATCTGTTGGGGACAGACCAAAACTTTAGTTTTCCACCAGAGCTGATGAGGAAGCAAGTAGGGCCAGATGTTGGAGAAAAAAATAATTGTTCCACAGGAAACTTGATTCATACTAAATCAAGTATTTTATTGCTGAGGTAATCTAATAGGCTTGCATAAAGTTGTAAACAAACACACAGGGAAGGAAAGGTTTGCCATACCATAACCACTACTATCTCTGCAGACAGAATCCCCTGTGTGTCTACTGTAATCTGTGGGGTGGGGGAAGGGAACATCAATCACCTATGTCTACTGTCATGCAAACAGCCAGAAAGCATGTCAATAGAATATCACAGAATATCACTTTGTGTTATCGACTCATGTAAATCAACCAGTTTGTGAGAGCAGTTAGCACCTATTGTATTAAAGTTACACCTATGGGGGAGGGGGGGCATCAGCAGGAGACAAGTAAATGGTTAAAACTGAGTCTGTGACCTAGATTATTTTTACTCTATTATTCCTGTTCAATATCTCACCAAATTCTTATCAACACAACTAGAAATTGGTCTACATGTGATGGAGGCTAGACAAATAAATTATAACAGATATTCTACCAATTTTAAGGTGTCAAACGTGGTCTATTCAATGTACATTTTCTGCAGTGAAAAGCCAGAGAGACAGATAACTTAAAAATATTATCTGAAGATAATATACAGTAGGCCTAATTACAGAAAACATCAGCAGAGCATTTCCAGTATTACACAAATATAATAACTATTGGCCAGAAAATCGGTAAACTTTCTTATTTCTATACAGACATCTAATCAAAAATAAATAGTAGGGCTAGGCTACAAGAAATCAACCATATGTTCAAAAATGAGTAAAATATATCGAGTTCTGCTAATGCGAACGGCAAGGAGCACATTGAAGGCACTCAGGTCCCGTAAATATACCGTTACGTAAGAGTTCACACTTTAAAATCAGATCCAACAATGTGATATGATGAAATGAACAACAGAAGAGGGAACATGTGCATGCATGATGCATCAAATACATCTCACGCTTTAATCAAAGGAGATACTGAACTCACACTCGAAATAGGCTACTCCATTGAGGAGAGCATCACGACAAAAAAGTTGAGCATGTACATCATTGAATTGACCATCGACTCGTGACTTTAAACTTCCATGAGTATTATCAAGACGCTGTGCTACAAAGTAACCCTAAACCCTTTGCACTAAACCAGTCCACAGGAAATAGGCAACATAGTATACAGTAACTATTTGAAACATCAAACCTTTTTGGCAGTGATCGTATCTCCGTAGCCTATCTAACGACAGAAACCCCCCACAAGTCCTGGACAGAATTCAAAGATCGAGAGTAAAAAGTGTTACATGTATTCCAGATTTCGATGCATTCTGCAACCGTGTAAAATACTCCGTATGTACGCCCTATGGCATTGCAGTGAATATTGCAGTGAATATGTAAACAGCTGTGTGTGTGTGTTTCTAAATTTTCTGGGGCGTATTCATTACGCGATTCTGTTGCGAAACGTTTCTTAAACGGAAACAAACTGAACGTAACGGGGTGGGACCTACTTGCATTTGTCCAATAGAAGCTCTCGTTTGGACCACTGAAGATTACACCCCTGAACGCAAGGAAGTCCACAATCTGGCATTCCCATGGCCTTGGAGTAAGGTTGGCATCAAATATTTGGCAGTCTAGACATCATGGGGCACTTGATCTGTTAATTTTCTTGAATCATCTAGCTATTCTATAAACACGATTGACACCAAGTCTAATTCTCAAGGGTATTTTCAGTCAGATACAACTCAGAAATGTAAAGTCTGGAAAAGTAGGTATTTAATGGACACAATTATATTTCCTGTACTATAGAGAGCACACATACAGTGCCTTCAGAAAGTATTCACACCCCTTGACTTTTTCGACATTTTGTTTTGTTACAGCTCGAGTTTAAAATGGATTAAATTAAGATTTGTTGTCACTGGCCTGCACACAATACCCCATAATGTCAAAGTGGAATTATATTTTTCGAAATTTGTGCAAATTAATTAAAAATGAAAAGCTGAAATGTCTTGAGACAATAAGTATTCAACCCCTTTGTTATGGCAAGCCTAAATAACTTCAGGAGTAAACATTTGCTTAACAAGCCACATAATAAATTGCATGGACTCAGTCTGTGTGCAATAATGGTGTTTAACATGGTTTTTTAATGACTACCTCATCTCTGTACCCTATATATTCTGTCGAGTAGTGAATTTCAAACAAAGATTCAACCACAAAGAACAGGGAGGTTTTTCAATGCCTCGCAAAGAAGGGAACCTATTGGTAGATCGGTAAAAATAAAAAAAATTAGACATTGAATATCCCTTTGAGCATGGTGAAGTTATTCATTACACTTTGGATGGTGTATCAATACACCCAGTCACTACAAAGATACAGGTGTCCTTCCTTGCTGGAGAGGAAGGAAACGGCTCAGGGATTTCACCATGAGGCCAATGGTGACTTTAAAACAGTTACAGAGTTTAATGGCTGTGATAGGAGAAAACTGAGGATGGATCAACAACATTGTAGTTACTCCACAATACTAGCCTAATTGACAGAGTGAAAAGAAGGAAGCCTGTACAGAATACAAATATTCCAAAACATGCATCCTGTTTGCAACAAGACACTAAAGTAATACTGCAAATAATGTGGCAAAGCAATTAACTTTTTATCCTGAATACAAAGTGTTATGCTTGGGGCAAAAAAACACAAGGCCAAATCTACACAGGAGTTGTTACACTGGAGTTGCTTACCAAGAAGACAGTGAATGTTGCTGAGTGGCCAAATTACCGTTTTGACTTAAATATGCATGAAAATCAATGGTAAGACTTGAAAATGGTTATCTAGCAATGATCAACACCCAATTTGACAGAGCTTGAAGGATTTTAAAAATAATAATGGGAAAATATTATGCACTCCAGGTGTGGAAAGCTCTTAGAGACTTACCCAGAAAGACTCACAGCTGTAATCACTGCCAAAGGTGATTCTAACATGTATTGACTCAGGGGTATGAATACTTATGTAAGTTAGATATTTCTGTATTTTATTTTCAATAAATTAGCAACATTTCCATTATGGGGTATTGTGTGTAGATGGTTGAGAAAAAAACAATTAATGTAATCCATTTTGAATTCAGGCTGTACCACAACAAAATGTGGAATAAGTCAAGGGGTATGAATACTTTCTGAAGGCACTGTACATCACATTTCGAACAGCAACATTGTGATATGCCCCTCAAGCACTGGTGTGATTGTTTCACATATCATGCTTAGTTGATTAGCCTACAGACACAGTCAAATTGAGTCTAGTTCTAGTCAAGGGTTGAATTAATGAAAGAGATTCTCCGGTACTTTTGTATAATTTTTAGCATGTCGTTTTGAAAGTAGAGCTCATGAGCCAAAAGTGGTCCCCGAAAATTGCATACTACATCACATATGTGCAGATATGTGCACCATGTAATTGCTCTCTCTCTCTCTCGCTCGACTGTGTGTGCATCTCTCTCTAGCTGTCACTCAAATGGCGAGGGGCTGCATGCTCATTGGCTAGAACTCGAATTGCTAGGGGGCTGGCGCATGTGGGGGAAAATGAATGGAAAATGGCGCAGCACAGCTTCCAGAAAAACAGTTGGTTTCAAACTCTGGATTTCGTGGCTAATTGAGGTAAGACAGTAATTCTGCTCATAGATTATGCATGTATGAACTACACATTGACACATCCAGCCCAAAGAGGGAGGTTTAAAAAATACTTAGTAGTCACCAAAGTTCCGGAGCATGTTTTTAAGAAAATAAAAAACTAGAAATTACAGTTCATTACTTATTCAGATTCATGTCAAAATTGTATTCCTTACTTGAATGAAATGTAATAGTAAATTCTGGCATCCTTTTAAAACTGTTATGTGATTAAATGTGTATCTCTGTCCCCTGTTTTGGTCGCTTGGGAATGTGATTCACTAGTCCATTCAGGAAATAATCTTATTTAACTCTGTTAACTCTGTTAATGGAATTCCACTGTGGGTTGTGTCCAAACCACTCACAAAATGTTTTTGCTCTGACAAATTAAATTGGCTTTATTGCAGAAAACGAGAGATAAGATCGACACAAAGACAAAGACACAGAAATTACAACAAATCCAACTACACACACACACACACACACACACACACACACACACACACACACACACACACACACACACACACACACACACACACACACACACACACACACACACACACACACATTTGGAGAGAGAGAGAGAGATTAGTTCAGTGACTGACATAACAATTCCAGGAAGCAGAGTGGAGTCTCCACAGCAAGGCAGATACGGGGACATATGGGTTGATGTAATGAAAAGCAGAACTTTCTCAATGAAGAGCTGTGTGACCCTTCAACTCCCCAAGGCTACCCTGGCTGCAACCCTGCGTGCACTGGCAGAGTTCCTATGGAAACCACACACTAAACATATGCGCTCACTATAAAATGAAGTGCACATACACACACATACTTTCAACATCCTCCTATTGAACCCCTACATTCTCTGTAACTCTATTTGGATATTTTTTGAAAGGGCAGTCCTTCTTGTGTAACATTGACCAGATGTCTGGTGTTATTACTAGAGACCTCATTTATAAGGTACACAGTAAGATAGAGTATATATACAGTGGCTTGCGAAAGTATTCACCACCCTTGGCATTTTTCCTATTTTGTTGCCATACAACCTGGAATTAAAATGGATTTTTTGGGGGTTTGTATCATTTGATTTACACAACATGCCTACCACTTTGAAGATGCAAACTATTTTTTATTGTGACACAAACAAGAAATAAGACAAAAAAACAGAAAACTTGAGCGTGCATAACAATTCACCCCCCCAATGTCAAT